AGTACGCATAGCAAAGCCTGCCTCATGAGCAGATGAGGGGCACTCTTTGTGAATACATATCAATAAATTTCACTGCATTTGATTTGTTTCGATCTAATAAACAGTTCATTTATGATCCTATTTTTACTATATAGGACCATAGGAGTTGTAAATATGTCTTTGTATGATTATTTCATTTGATAAATATAATTCAGATGTCGTTTCTTTATTCCTTTTATTTATGGGGTATTGACTCCGTGACTATAAAATTAGATATATGAAACTTAAATCATTTTAGATATGGTTTGGTTGAATTATATATTGTTTATACATGTACACTATTTCCAAAGAGTGTTGAAATCTTTAAAATTTGCTTATGGTACGGCTTCCTGAGACATTATTTTTCTTTAGTTATCTCTTAAAAACAGGTTGTTTCTTTGCTTTAAAATACCTTTAAAATTTGTTGGGCCGGTGGAGGGCTCCTTATTTAGATTTTTACTCGGCACTTATGGCCTTTGATCATTAAGCATCAGTAAGGGATCTTTTACGTGCCATCTACATGTATATTCCGACACTGGACCTACGTTTTTTATGGTCTTATTCGACTGACCGGTCTGCAAGTCCCACGTCGGGACCTGTGACTTAGAATAAGCTCCCGAATTACGTCGTGACTATAAAACGAAACACTAGAATTACTGTGCCACGCAAGGCCCTTGACATTTTGTCTGTGTAAGTACTCGAAGATGATAGTAGGTTTGAAAAATGTACTCGAATGTCCAATGGTTCAGTATTTGCGAATCTTGTTTTTTTTGTAAATATTCGATTTCAATAAATTTACGCTGGCCTGAGATATTTTACAAGTTCAAATGAATAATATTTGTGATTTAATTAACCATACATGTTGCTTCATTTGTATGATATTCGGTTTAAAAATTGGTTTCTTTTGTTCTTTATTTATAAAGATATTATTCAATTTTTCAGAATGTATTCCCAAACTTGCTGTCAGAAAAAAATAATTTACCTACCTACCGACCCAACTTGAGATTTTTGGGTCGGGTTAGGGGAAACAAAGATATTTTTAATGATGGCCTAAAGTCAATAATTTATGGTTTTCAAATTAAAAAAAAAACGTTATTTTTAATCAAAACCTTCAAAACATGAGTATAGTAAATGACATAAAATATTTTAAATATGATCAGTTGATATGATTGGATAAACAAGATATGAAGTAAACAATCTGTAATAAGGCTCAAAAGTTCATTAGAACAATACAAATTGATTAATTGATTCACAGTTTATAATACGTATTACATGCCGCATCGTCGCCGGCGTGGCGCAGTGATTAGATCGTCTGCTCTAGAGTCGCGAAGTAAGGAGTTGTTCAAATCGGTCCTTCGGATGAAACCGTATAAATCGAGTTCCCGTGTCGCAGTAGGTATTGGCACGAAAACGATCACTCACTGCTCAATGGCCCTGAGTGCCGAGTATAGGTATAAATTTGCAGCCCTCCACCGGCAAGTGGTGGCGTCTCCATATGAGTGAAAAATTTTCGAGGGGACGTTAAACAATAAAGAAAGAAACAAACAAACAAAAAAACCATGCCACTTCTAACAGTACTTCCAGTACTTTGATTCTATTTCGAAATACTTTTACCAGTACTCCTAGTACTTTGATTATAATCTAGGACGCACTGCGACCTCCTTTGTGATGGTTATTTTGAAGAAAAATTAAGAATAAAGAACATATATTGGTACTGGAATGAGTGGACAAAAAGGAAATAATTAGTATTACAAAATTTCTACTTTCGGTTTGAACCTTTTAATCTACCGAACATGTTTTACAGTTTAGTTTTTTCTCTATGGTCATTTTGTAGAGATTTATGGTCAAGGATTGTTCATTGGCACGAAAATGAGTAAACAATGAAGAGGTAATTAGTATTTATGTAAAACATTGTAAAACAAGTGATTCAAACATTTCTTCTTAGGTTTCTCAGGTGATCTATCACTGTTTGTTAAGTTTTATGTTTATCAATACAGGGAAAATCTTTAAAATACAATCTTTCTAATTTACAAAGGCTGTCATTTGTCAAATTGATAAGTATTTAACCACTTTAACTCAGTTCTCTAAATGTACCCCCTGCGTGTGTTCAGGTATCAGAACGGGGATATGGAATTTGTTTTCCTAATGACTATGTATATGTTGGTAAACTTTTCCCGAGCACCATGAGATTTGGTGCCGAGCGAAGCGAGGGACCAAATCAAATGGCGAGGGAAAAGTTTAACAACATACTTAGTACATGTTTCACACGAGAAATTAAACCCTTTGTGTCTCTATCTATTTCATGACAAATCTTTGTGTGTTTCTTGTTATTTAATCAAGATAATGATGATTTGATCCTGATTGTTGCCATTTTGTACAGGCCCAGATGTGATAATTATACCCTCAGGGGGTATATCTACCTGTCTGCAACAGGTCAGGTGACGGTCTATAGTGAGTAGTTTTCAAACACAATAAGGGTCCATTTCTATAGATTCAGAATCTCTGTATGAAGATATTCATGTCGTTTTTAATTGAGTCTTGTGGGCATTAGTAAAGATTTGTTTTTAGCGGTAAAATGGATAAATTGTTCTTGAAAAGCACATATTTCCACAGAAAACGAAAACAGAAAAAAGGAAAAAAAATCTGTATACGGTTGGATTGTCACGGCTTACAACAATTACAGGGAAAGTTTACACACTACTTGAGCAATATAGGACTTGCCTTGTGTATTTGAACATTGTAAAAAATCCAATTTTGACTTCTTGCTGTGTCCTCTTAATCTGTTAATTATAATCGAAGACAAGATGGTGAGTAAACTTTTTTTGCACTATCTGATGAGATATAATTCTGGGTATTATCTATATATTCAAACAATTACTAAACCTTTCTTAAAATTCTGTTTTAATTTTGATTTTTTTTTTAATTTAATTATTTAATGTTTTAATTTTGACTAAAATTGGTTAATTCAGAAAGAAAGACAAGGGAAAAAAGACATTTTTTCCTTTACTAATTATGTAGGTTTTATTGACTATTTAGCACATCAGGTCCAACATTCATTGTTTAGTGACCTTGCCCTGTGTCCATGATTGTAACCTATCATTGATAATGATAAGTTTAATAATTATTCACACAATGGCATAGTCATCCAACCATGAAGCTTGGGCTTGGAGTGTACCAAGTGATTTGGTAGCAGCAAAAACCCTTTGTTCGAGGTGTGAAACATGTACTAAGGACTTTTATCCAGTTGTGAAGTTTGTGTCCCTTCTCAATTCTGATCAGGTGCCCCAGAGGCGCTAAGCATGTACCTCTGTATTGTTCATACATTACATCTTAAAATCACTTCTTTATTTCCCGTATTTTAACATGATTAAGGTATTGTAGTGAATAAACTTAATCTTCATGTCACTTTATGCAAGTCCAAGGTGGGGATGAATTGACTACTCAGGTGACAATAAAGGCCTTCTAGACCAACTGAGTCACCCTTGTCCGTCCTTGTCTGTCAGTCTTTCACTTTTGAAAAAATTAGGTTCTTCTCAAAAACGACTGAACAAATTTTGGTATATAATCTTTTGTTTAAGGGAAACAGAAATTCTGAATTTTATGGCCTTTAATTGCCTCCTTAGGCCATGGAGGATTGCAATCTTTAAAAATCTGCGCTAGAGAGACAAGCCTTTTGCATAGTGATATTAGCTGTCTACCAAATGAAAATGCATTATATTTTTAAAAAATCATCTTTACACATGGACATCTATCAGATAAAGAGTTTGCATGATTACAATTTACTTATTTCTTTGTCAAATTTCTAAAATTCATGTCTCCTGGGTCGAGAGTTGGGCTATGTTGGTCACGTATTGAAAATACATTTATTCTTTGAAAATCTTATTTTTCAAAGGGCATTCGGTAGGCAAACTAATCATTTGATAATAATTAACAGTTATCCCTCTACCAAAATGGTAAATTCATGACTGCCGTTTGCAGAGCTCAGATCAAGTATGACTTTATGCATTGAAAATACATTACAAATTTTAAATTCTTCCTATTCCCTCTTTGTTTCTTTACAAACAGACTTTTTGTATATTAAAGTGTAATGTGTACCCCTGGTAGAAGGGATAAATTTTCCTCTTACTCTACCTGAGTTTATGATCAAGCATTTAACTATGTACAATATAATAATTTTTCTTAAACCTATTTTGGTTTTTCTATTATCGTTAATCACGGAATAAATGAGGTGGGCAGAATTCTAATGAGTAACTCTTGGGCTTAGCACCGTGAACCTTGCCCTGTTTCCTTTTGATAGCGGATACTAGGTGTTTCGTTCTTATTCAGATCAACAGCCCCCAGTATTTCGCCTAAGTTCCCCAGGATTCTTGTCACTGGTGCTAACCTATTTACCCTTTCTCTAATTCTTTCTCTCTTACACTTCCTGTTGCTTTTCTTCCTCCTTACCAACAGCCGTTCACCATCCGAACTAACTGAAACTCTGAATGGTCTATTTTATACACTTCACAGTAGTCTACTTTGAAGGAGGACATCTGGGTCTACTTTGCATTTTCACTAATCATTACAATAATAAACGCATAGCCTTATTATTCACTTGTCTTGAACATCCATCAAACAAATTGTTTGACGTTCCAAAAGGGGCTAAGAAATTCTGAAACCCAGGGTGTCCAGGTGATCGTCAAGGCCTCTAGGTTGTTTTTATTGATAAATTATAACATGTAATTCATAACATGAATTGTGATCAATCTCATAGACCCAGTAAACAAAATGAATTATGAACAGGACAAAATCAGACCTCTCGAAACTCTCTTTACTTATTTATACATGTGTTAATTTTTTGTTATAATTTTTAGGGACCTTTTTCAATTAGTGGTCAGTTAGGAGCGGGAGAAAATATTTGAGAAATATGACAAAATAATGAAGATTTGTTGGAAAGTTTACTAATTTTGACAATGGCTTCTAATATTCTGATTGGTGATCAACTGAACTTCACTCGTATGGGAATAGCAAGTGTGGACGAGATCAAAGTTGTATTAGCGGACATTTTAAGGTGTGAGATTAAACCTGAAGATTTGCCCAAATCTGTAAGCTCTTGCTCAGAATTCACGACCGGGAGACGCAAACTGAGGCCAGAACAAAAGAGACTTTGCTGTCCGTCTCCTACCGTTGTACCGGACTATAACAAGTTTGATGTGTCTTTGTTATATACACTCATACGAAACCTGTGTCCACAATTAAAGCCAACTCAGGATTGGGGTAAAACACCTTCTATAACTGATTTGCAAGTTGGAGATGATATCGAACGCCTCAGAGTGTTTAGAAACGAGATGTTTGCACATTTGGATTCTTCTTGTGTAGAAGATGTCGTTTTTACATCAAAATGGCAGGATTTAGAACAGATATTCCAGAGGATGCAAACGTTTCTTAACACAAAAGGAATCTCAGTTGACTACGGGATGAAATTAGCAACCATAGCAAAGAGTGACTTTGGTTTCGAGGATATGGAAAAATACAAAATTATTTTAGAAGGAATTCTGCATATTTTAAAGGAGAATGACGATAATAGTAAGTGTGATAAAAATACTAATTTATACTCAATATTCTCCACTTAATTCCAATATTTTTTACATTAGCTTTGATTACCCAAACAGGTGGTCCTTCAATAACAATACGTGGAAACGATAAGATTTTCTTTGGCGAAAAGACCTGTTTTGAAGCTGTATTAGACAGATGCTCACACTCCAATAACTGGCCAATCACATGGGAGAAGATACAGGGAAATATAACAGAACAACTCGACACAAGTAAAGAGAAATATAGGGGCAGTTCCAGTAGATGTTTAATGATATCAAACGTATCAAAGGAAGACGAGGGAGAATATAGAGCCGTCATTTCTAGGGAAAACAACGGGACACACATAAAAATACCAAGCAATTGCAAGCGATTGACAGTGATCGGAGGTACCGATACAAGAGAGAGAGAGAGAGAGAGAGAGAGAGAGAGAGAGAGAGAGTTGTCGGTTATGGGAGAACATGAGAGAGAAAAAGAGACAGGTCATACATTCTGAGCATGATTCAATTTGACGTCATTTATTTAAAATTAGCAGCAGTAATTCATGTATCAGTGTTTGTGAGATGAGCAGATGATGACATTTAGTAATGTTTTTAATGAGAAAAATGTATTCTCTTTTGTTTTAAAAAAAAATGATAAATAGTCTTTGTTTGCTCTTGGCAAAATAGAGTGCAATTTAATTAAAAATCAGATTGAACAGATCTGAAGAAACCACTTACCTAAATAATGAAGTATCAGAGAAGGAAGTGAAATTTTAATCACAGAACATTTGACGGGATTGTAAATATCGCTTAATGTTTTTGGTTATTTACGGTTTTATAATTATAATTATTAGATCAGGAATTAAATTTATAGTATATCACTGTTTGCAAAATGACAGGAAGAATATGTTTGTGTTACTATTTTAGATTTACCAGCACTTACAATGCCAAAGGAAGTTGAAGTCCCTTATAGCTCAGTTGCTGTTTTTCAACCAGTCATACAGGCATGCCCACCGCCTGAGTCTGTAGAATGGCAGAAAAGCAAATGTATGGATCCAATTTCAGAAGAATTTAAATCAATTAATTTTAATAGCCCGAAATATTCTGGAAGCACACTTGATCCAACAAACTCGAGGTTAATAATAAATGAAACGACTTTTGAAGACAGTCTTTTTATCGACTTGTAGTAGAAAACAGAGTTGGTAAATCCAGTTGCAGTACCTTTCTCAAAATTGTTGGAAGTAAGTTTTTCTGTAAATTTACTTTTGATTAAACAGTTACACATTTTCTTAAAAGAAAACAAATAAAAAATTAATAGGTACCTTTAAGTTACATGGAACTCGACTTTCATAATCATCGACACATTTTTTTCTTATGTTCTTGACTGTGTACCAGACACCCAGTGAAAACTTCGATAAAAATTCTATTGTTTTTGAACAGCTTCACCAAATGTGATAATGAAAGATGACACTGACTTTCTAGAGAAGAGTGTCACCTTGATCTGCAAAGTTGTCTGTGAAAGCTCTCATCAGCTGACAAGATTAGTGTGGACAAAAGACAACAATGAAATAAATGTTTTAAATAGTGAAGGAAAATACACAGGGGGTGAAATTGACAACCCATCACTAAAAATTACCAACGTGAATGCTTCTGATGCAGGTATCTATCAATGTTGTGCCTCTAATGTAGTTGGATCAACGCACAGTGAACAAGTGACTCTAGGTACGTAAAACAAATAAATATATTCAAATTTTGACACCCTTCTCTTTCCAATTCTGCTCATATTTGTGAAATCCGCCAAGTTTTCATTTTAAATTCTGGGGGCATGCTCATCGAATAATATTTTGTATCTGCTTGTATATAATATTTTACAATAATTATTGTCTTGTGGTGTCAAACCTTTCAAAATCACTAAAACATATATGTAACACAAATTTTGATGTCAGCATTTCCAATTAATTCATTTTTAGCTCACCTGAGCTGAAAGCTCAAGTGAGCTTTTCTGATCACATTTTGTCCGTAGTCCGTCTGTCCGTCCGTCTGTCCGTCTGTCCGTCCGTCCGTCTGTAAACTTTTCACATTTTCGACTTCTTCTCCAGAACCACTGGACCATTTTCAACCAAACTTGCCACAAAGCATCCTTGGAAGAAGGGGGTTCAAGTTTGTTCAAATGAAGGGCCATGCCCTCTTCCAAGGGGAGATAATTAAGAATAAGTGAAAATTTGGTGTCTTTTTTTAAAAATCTTCTTCTCAAGAACCATTGGGCCAGAGAAGTTGAAACTTATGGGAAACCTGCATTACATAGTGTAGATTCAAGTTTGTTCAAATCATGACCCCCGGGGGTCGGGTGGGGCCACAATGGGGGATCAAAGTTTTACATAGGAATATATAGGAAAATTCTTTAAAAATCTTCTTCTCAAGAACAACAAAGCCACAATTAGTCATATTGATATGAAATCATCCTCAGGTAGTGTAGATTTAAATTTGTTCAAATCATGACCCCCGGGGGTAGGGTGGGGCCACAATGGGGGATCAAAGTTTTACATAGGAAAATTCTTTAAAAATCTTCTTCTCAAGAACAACAAAGCCACAATTAGTCATATTGATATGAAATCATCCTCAGGTAGTGTAGATTTAAGTTTATTCAAATCATGACCCCTGGGGGTAGGGTGGGGCCACAATAGGGGATCAAAGTTTTACATAGGAATATATAGGAAAATTCTTTAAAAATCTTTTTCTCAAGAACAACAAAGCCACAATTAGTCATTCTGATATGGAATCATCCTCAGGTAATGTAGATTCAAGTTTGTTCAAATCATGACCCCCGGGGTTAGGGTGGGGCCACAATAGGGGATCAAAGTTTTACATAGGAATATATAGGAAAATTCTTAAAAAATCTTCTTCTCAAGAACAACAAAGCCACAATTAGTCATATTGATATGGAATCATCCTTAGGTAGTGTAGATTCAAATTTGTCGAAATCAAGACCCCCGGGGGTAGGGTGGGTCCACAATGGGGGATCAAAGTTTTACATAGGAATAAATAGGAAAAATCTTTTAATATCTTTTAAAGAACAGGAAAGCCGTGATTAGTCATTTTGATATTGAAGCATCCCCAAGTATTGTAGATTCAAGTTTGTTCAAGGCATCCTCCAGTAGTAGGGTGGGGCCATAATCGGGGATCAAAGTTTAACAAAAGAATATATATAAGAAATATCTTAAAAAATCTTCTTCTCAAGAACAACAAAGCCATAATTAGTCATATTGATATGGAAGCATCCTTAAGTAGTGTATATTCAAGTTTGTTCAAATCTTGAACCCCCCCTCCCTTCCTTCCCCCCAGGGTAGGATGGCAGACATCTTTAAAATTCCGTTTCAAGAACAGCAAAACCATGATTAGTTATATGAATATAGAAGCATCCTCAGAAAGTTTAGATTCAATTTCATTCAAAACATGGCAAATGGGGGTAGGTTATGCCTAGAACAGTTGATCAAAGCTTTACGTATGAATATATAGAAGAAGAAATCTGCTGACAAAGAACAGCAGGGCCATATTGACTCAGGTGAGCGTTGTGGCCCATGGGCCTCTTGTTGAATATATCTATTAGGAAATACCATCCACAAATGTGTGGAAGTGTATGAAATATGGATATAACGAAGAGAATTTCAGCTCAAAAGTCCATTCAAACAATACAAATTAAGAGCAGGAAAATTTTTTGTAAGGAAATTGTTACAGTGGCAGCATTTTAAAATAATTCTCGGGAAAAATATTATAATATTTAAGAACTTGATTTCAGACCTAAAGGAAAAAAGATAAGAAAAACACCAAGTTTTGAAAGAAATAGAGTTGGATTGAAGAAAAGAATCTTATAATTGATAATAAAAATAATAATGAAAAAGATTTGCTGCATTGTTGTTATGCAGAGGATTTGATTCTTTATCAAAGGGGGATAATTCGAAAAGAAACGAGAGTAGAAAATAAATAGGAACGAAACGGACAAATATGAAATTCAGGAAAATAGAGTAAAAATATTACATTTTTCTTTCAACAAGTATTCTAGAAGGGGAAACATGTAAAGTAGTTCCGGCATATGAACTCCAGATTTTATTGATGCAATAATCAAAAGAATTATTTTATAGAAATTAATTGATATTGACATTTTTTAAGGAATGGGACAGGTTAAAGATATTTTCCTGAAGAACGGCTAAGCATGAATAAAAACTATTTTTTTTTTTTAAAACTTCTGTCTCACGGGCAGCTCTCTCTCTCTCTTTCTCTCTCTTTTTCATTTTTTTTTAAGAAAAAGACATTTCTTACATTATTTCTTTTAAAATTTTCAGCTTTACCAAATGTTAAACTGTTAATAAAGGAAAAGGACATAAAAAATGGAGCTCTGAAGCTCCAAGCGACCATTAAATCCATTCCGGATGCCTTTAAGGTAGAGTGGAAGGCAAAGATGACTTCGGATAATGAATTCCGACCAATAAATTTGCAGGAAGAAACCTATAAAGGATCAACAACCTCTCTTCCAAATCCACTGCTAGTTGTCAATAAATACAACTCCAAGAATTGGGAAACATATAGAATAGAAGTCACTAATTTTCTTGGTGTTATGTTTGTTACGAGTCAAGGTATGTTTTAAGATGTAGCAATCAAGTGTTAAAATGTAAATTGTATAAAAAACTATACGCATCTGTGATTTAAGAACAAGTTGTTTGCAGGGTTGGAGCATTAAGAAAATGTATGTTTTTTTTCTTTTGTTTCATAGCATTGAAATGCTGTTCGTTATTTTCATTTTTTACAATACGAAAAAAATCATAGTATTCTTTTTACCATATAAACGATGAGCAAGTAATTGATATAATACATGCAATCTTTAACGAACAACTTCCTTAAGAAAAAAATGAAGAAAAGGATAATAAGTTCGTTTTAGAATAATAACAACATTTATCGCTCTATTCTTACGTATTCAAAAGAGTTTTAAGATCAAATTTCTGAAACATATATTTATACATGTACGTATCGTATTTTAATTATTTCATTTGATATTTGCATCGTTCCAATTAATTATTTCTTTGTTGACCATTTAACTGGGAACATCTTTGAGTTCTTGAAATACCTGTACATATCGTATTGGGAAAAAAAAGAAAGCAAACCCGGGCAGGAAAGTGATCTTTTTTTTTTTGAAATTGCAATGTCTTATGATTTTTGCATAATTGCAAGGATTGAATGTTATGTTTTTACAGAGGCGCTGGAAGAAACACAATTACCAGCAGAAAGAACTATAGACAGTTTGAATGGTAGGTGAAATACATAGAGTACATTTGACCTTTTATAGTTGGATATGAAATTTATTACACGAGTAAGACAGGGTTTAAACCAAAAAAAATCGAGAGCAAAACTTGGGTGATTTTATTAAAAAAAAAAAAACAACAACGTGGTTTTAGGAATGAAAATATGGAACAAGTACAAATCATTGGAATTTTTTTATTTATTAATTACATCGGTCCCTCTGTTGTCCATGTCTTTTTGTAGAATTGCAAGTTGTTATGTTATGTCTGAGCGGTTGTGAGACGTTTTAGCTAAGCAACTGAAAATTTAGATAAGATAAATCACCCCTTCCTTTTCTAGTCAAATTCTTTTTGATTCATTAGGTTCTAGTAAGTATACTTTCGTTTTATGTTCGATATAGTATTTTATGAAACATTACATCTAAGGGGCAAATTCATTGAAATGATGTGAAATAACGGAAAATGTAAACATTTATCAATTTTTGTAAGGATTGAAAAAAAAATTCTAGTACCTAAAGAGTGCTGCTTGAATCCTACTGTTCGGTCAGGGAAATAAATATTCAACACATTCGCACGAAACCTTACCCAATTTTCAGCATTTTACAATTAAAACACGAGATATTTCTGGAATCTATGTTTACCTCAGGATTCTAGCTGCACTTTCGATGTATTATAAAATACAAGCTTTTGATCCGTACAAACATTATGTTCTAAAGTATTCGGCTTAATATTGCTCTTCTGCATATTGTGTTTGGTCATGATTGACAGGATAGTCTGACCAGGATTCGTAATTAAATAGCTGAATGTCTTCAACAGAAGATAGAATTGATGAAAAGAAATCAGCATACTTGTAAAACAATCAAACACTATTTGCTTCCGTTTCATGTATATGTTTTCATGACGCCTTTCAAATGCTCGAAACCTTCACGGTAGCTCAGTCGGTAGAGCGCTCACTCCGTGATTGGAAGGCCTTGAGTTCGAAATCTCGGCTGCGACTGACCTAAGTCGAATAAAAATGTTACAACTGTTCCTTCGTCAGGCTCTAAGCACTCTGAAGTGAAAGTTGTTGGTCCTTCGTATGAGGCCTTAAAAACCGAGGCCCCATATCACGGTAGGCGTTGGCACAATAAAGAAGCCTCACTGATTAATGGCCCTGAGTGCCGAGTAAAGGTCTTAATTTGATGCTTTTCATCGGTGACGTCTCTAATTGCGAAATATGAGAGAATATGATATATTCTCGAACAGGACGTAAAATAACATACAATCAATGAAATATATGGAGATAACGAACAGTATTCAGGCTCAAAAGTCCATTAAACAATACAAAATAGGAGCAGAGCAAACATGGGCATTCAAAACATCAGAGGTGGGATCAGGTACCATGGAGGAGTGAGCATTCCCTGCCGAGAGGTCACACCCGCCGTGTGTTTCTTGTCATAATCGGGAAATAAAGGAAAAATCCGTCGACAATTCAGTGTGTAAATAATGGTCTAACAATCAATCAAATGGCCTATCAATCAATCCAAATGCTCTTTACACATTCAGTTCGCAAGTTATTTGTTGCACCGTTATGACGTCATGGATCGGAGTTTTTATTCCAATCTACTCCAGCATTTCCTACAGATATTCCCAAACTGTTGCTTCCAATTTTTCTAATTATAAACAAACCTGACAGTGCCTTGAGATTCAAAAACAAAATGCTCTTAAGTGTTCTTGCTTTTTTTTCAATGAAATATAGAGATAACGAACGGAATTCAAGCTCAAAAGTCCATTCAAACTACAAAACAGGGACAGAGCAAACACAGACTTCTAAAACATCAGAGGTGCACATGGAATCAGGTGCCATGGAGGAGTGAGTATCCCCTGCCGACCGGTAACATCCGTCGTGTGCTCTGTGTATCTCTTATTTCAAGCTGTCTTGGATATATCGTGTCGACATAGGAATGGAAGTAACTATTGGTTATTGACAATACGTCGTCGATTTATCTAATTGTCCAGTTGAAGGCAGCGACAATTATTCTCTTCTAATGTATAAGGTTTTGAATAAATTCTGCTTCATTTGAATAAAAGAATATGTCTGCTAATAACGAGGGTGCAATAGGTACCCTTGGGAATTCCGACAGATTGTTGAAAAATCTGGTCAAAAAAAAAGAACATAGATATTGTCAATCAGAAATTCAAGCATTTTTATGCGCAAAAAGGTCATTAAATTTCGAGAAAATAAGTGAAATTAAAGCAGCTCTAAACTAGCATAAAATCAGTAAATGGAGATAAACTGTGCTTCATATGTTAGAAATACAATAACTAACACAGTTTTGAAGTTCATATTTACTTTCTGTATGAATTTGTGCCTGACAAAAGTTGAGCATATTTTATACAAATTTTTTTTTTACAAGATTTTAAACAAATTTAAAACTATCAGAAATTCCAATACAATGTCAACAAATAAATGATATCTAAATATTTTATAGCTGAAGAGATATGTTAAGGAAAGAAAATAAAATTACTGGGATCAGCAATGTTTTTTAGGAAAAAAATACAATGGAATCTCGAAATTTCTCTGTTAGTTCAAAAAGCTCAACTACTTATGGGAAAAATTATGGTATTTGTAATTAGTACATAATGAGTACTTGGTATGATTAGTCTTTGAATATAAGCATAAAATTCACCAAAAATGACTTTTATGTAAGAAAAATAAGTATAATTAACCATGTTTTATTATTTTAGGTAACTTTTATTCAATAGGATTTGAAATAATTTTCAAGTACATTTTCAAACACACTTATGTAAATATAATGGAGGAATGTCAATATTTAAGAAATAAACAACGTTATCCGGTGAACATGGCGTTATAAATAGCAATTGCTCTACTGGCATATTCCACTAAATAGGTATCTGGGCTCACCCTAACGGACACGTCGTCAACATATTAGAAAAAAATAACTGTGATATATTTTTATTATCAGTTTGCGATAATAAATCAATTATATAAAACATTAAACCATTATCAATCAACGCAGCTATGTTAAGGCTGTCCGAAGGCTTAATATGCATTAGATATATACTATTTTATTTTGAGAGATGTTTTGATTTAAATTTGTAATCTATGTATACATACACCGTTAAGTTGTAAAGGGAGTTGAATAAGGTATTATAAAAAAGCATTTTTGTGATGTCACATGACTGTATTGATCACGTGACGGACACTTATAAATTTTCTTAAATATTGCACAAAAATCGCATCGGCACAAGTGAAAAACAAAATTATGATATTATACTGCAAATAATCCTTAAAACAACAATCCAGACACATGATTTAAACATCAACGTAAAAAAATTCTACATACACTTATGATGTGAAAGGAATGTAAAAGTTATGACACTTTCCCCGTCATGTCTGCTCAAATTTGCAGTGACTTGACGTCACATGCCATTATGACGTCATATCTAGGTAGTTCAGAGAAGTTACTACGGCTGGTACACTGTACATTCTTCGGACAGCCTTATCCTAGCCGCGAAAACAAAATATATTTGCTTTACCTTCTTCTTCATATGTAATCCTATTGTATCTTAATGCAACAAGGTGGGGGTGCTTAGTTCTACATTATTTACAGATTCTTACAAAAGGTAGCAAATCACTATAAAAAAAATTCCCTAGCTGCAAGAAATGTAATAAAATTAAAATAAAATACATTGATTTTCATTAAAAAAAATAAAAGATATTGCATTATATTCGTCTCTGAATCAAAGAAAGAACTAAGAAAAGGTCACAAATACAGAGAAAATTACCACTTGTAATCAAAATATAACAGGTTTTGCATTTTTTTTTTCCTTAAAACATTTTGAAATGAAAGAAAAGGGATCAGAAAAAAAGGAATCTTCAAATATATCTCAAATAAAACCTTTACATTCTTTCATATTTTGCATGCACTACTGTTTTAATATCAAAACAGGGAATTCGAAGACTGCACATATGACATGTTAAATATCCATGAAGATTATACGAGAGACACTGATTGGGCTTTTTGACAAGGCTTGTAACAATATCGTGTTTGTTTTAAAGGCTCATTATTTAACCTGCATTTTAGAAGAACTTTGTTTTAATTCTACCTGGAAATCCAACTTATGCTCACAGTCATTTTGTAAGGCTAAATTTCTTCAGCATTGCATTTGAGCGTGTAAGACTTTTGAGATACTAGTCAGGCAAATGATTAAGAACTACCCTAATCTTTGACAACATTTAGTAACAGGTCATCCAACAAACTGTTTTTGGTTATCATAGGTTGTTTTTTATAATTTCTTTACAAACATCTCCTTCTTTCATTTATAATGATTTATTCATATTGATATATTACATTTTAGGCATTAATCTTTCCCTCTATAAGGATAATGGGGCGGCCAAGATCAAATTTAACAATTTACGACTTTCTTTGATCAAAGGAATTACAAAAGAGGAAATGGCTGGTCTAAAGGACTCCCTAAGAGGTAATATACAATTATGATATGTTGATTTGATATGCTTCATCGGTATAATAAGAACTACTTCATACTTTTGTGAATTAATTTTTTTCAGGAATAAGTTCATTGGATTCAGAATCTCTCAGTAGTGTACAGGATGTAAGAGAATTCGTAAATCTTTTACTACATGAGAAGGTTTTTACAGAACGTGATGTAATTACCTTACAGTACTTAATGAGGACCATTGGGAGGACAGATTTAGAAACGGAATGTGTTGACTACGCCACCAGTATGAAGGAGAGATTGTGTTACTTTCAACAGGAAAAACAAGCCGGTAAATAAAAAGTTTTATTTTTCTATTTGTGATCATATTTACAGGTAAGAATTTGTTTGAAAGAGAGCTTCTATTTCTGTGACAGGAGAGAAAGATTATTTTTTCTATTTATAGACGTCCTTGATGACGTCATAGTTGAGTGCTTATGTTATCCTTAGTCGAATTGCCGTTTCTAAAGTGGATTACTGTAGTAAATGTTTCTAAGTGTTATCGTTCTCCAACACCCGGAGCAATCTCCGACGTCAAAAAGACAAAGTTTTTTTCATGCCAGACAATGATTTATTTTATTTTAAAAGGGTAAATCTGTGCAATAACTCAATGTTTGTCAATAAATTTATTAGTTATTGTTGATTTGATTAATCTATGTACAAAGCTTCATTAATTCATTAGGAAATTTTGTAACTGAAACTATAAGCTGTAAATAAAGCTGTAGATAAAATTAAATCCTATTCGATTTATATAAAAATATATTGAGGTATAAGAACCATGATTAAAAACAAGAAACAAAATAGGGGTCACGAGGTACTGAAACGTCATAAGTGTCAATGGTCAATTAGAACTCGTAAAGCTTATCGTAAGAAAAAATATATTGAATAGATTTTTACGTTAATTAAATAGACTACACAATATGGCTGGTTAAAATTTTGACGTCGACCATATTTCATTGGTTATGGACGGCCAGTCTTTTATGTATGAAAGTCTAGCAGAGAGAAATAACCAGAAAACATGCCGACAATTGGAGAGGTCACCGAAGACGAAGCCGTTGACAACTCGGGACTTCGGACGAATTACTCAAGTTTAACTTCGTAAACATTTATCTTTATATATATGGGAATTTTAAATTCTTCTTTATTATTTCAATTATTTATATATAAATAAATCCTGTATATCTTCTATCTGTTCCATCAGTGAATATCATGTACTAGAAATGACACTTCTTCAATGGCGCCGTACGCCATTACGAAGTTCACAACATTCCTACTAGATTCTGTGCGACTTTTTTAAAATAATGCGTGTTGGTCATTTATTTTTTTTTAAAACGGTATCTTTTCTTTAAAATATTTTATAGTACAGAAAAAAATCGTGATCGGGCAAAAACGATTGTTCAAACGCCGAAAAAGGCCCCCTTTCATCTCTCGACCAAGTCCAGGAAATGTGGGGAAAAAAATCTTCCTAAAACCTTTCTTGTGCATATTTGTGCATCCTAAAGCCACAAATTATACCTTACTAGCTGTCAATTATCCAATTATCACTTTATTATTTTCTAACAGGTTTAATAAACGCAACAAATAAGCCCTTTTGTATACTCAGTAAGTACTTCGCTTGACCAGGATTGACACCTATGACGTCAGAGCAATGGCGCGTAACATCGGCGATCAAAATATGCATATCGAGAAATTCAAACTGAATCGCTGAAACATCAAAAATATTAATTTTCTAGCGAAGAATTTTAAATGTGTGATTTCAATAACATGTAAACTTTGTCATATCAAAAAAAATTGAGATGTGATAAAAATCCTTTAAGAAAAGGGCGAAAACTGGTTGCTGTGCAGTTTATGGGAAAAGATGTTCTGTCATATTCTAATTTTTGTATTTACTACCACCCGGTAAATTAAAAAATTACAATATGACAGAACGTTTTATCCGTCCTTAGAGCGGAACTTGACAAATTTCCAACCAATCGTGATGACGCGTAACAACGTCACGTCAAGATTGAGCTATTCATCCTGCCTCCCGTGTAATTGACATCTCATTACCACTGACACTGCTTTTAATACAGTAGACAATGATAATCATTACATTCACCCATAAACCGATTCCGCGATTTTGGTGCGTGAGCTCGTCAACTTTACTTCGGTGTTCTTTTTGACTCACATGCACACGTGCGCCGTATGTCTAATTTTTCAGCATGTTTACCCTTGAACCAATGTTGCCAAATATTTTCAAGCCTTTTCGTCTAACATTCACATGAACCAACTCAACTGGTCTTCGTTAAGTTTATCTTTTTCTCTAATTAACATCTATTGGACCAACTCAACAATAGGGCTTGAAAGCGTCGGAAAGCAGAAGAGACTCTCCACCAGCTAATCGGAATGATTGAATAATATTCGTATGAAAAAGATAAATGCACTGGTGAACTCCATGCAGAGGATAATCAAGGCTGTATAAGATGCGCGAGGGATACTTAAGTGATTTTGATTTTCACTTTTGGGGTGTGCCGTCATATGAAATGCAATAACTCATGAATTATCAGTCAAAATCAAATGAGATTTTGGTTACTTGTTGACCAAAAATGAGTCTTAACTTTATATTAGTAGAAAATACCTTTGAAGAAATAGCATTAAACCATATCAGAAGTTTACCCTGAAATATATGGAAATAACGAACAGTATTCAAGCTCAAAAGTCCATTAAACAATACAAATCAGGAGCACAGCATACAGGGACCTCTAAAACGTCAGAGGTGGGATCACGTGCCATGGAGGAGTGGGCATCCCCTGCCGACCGGTCACACCCGCCGTCTGCTCCTAGTAATAATCGGGAAATAACGGAAAATTCCGTCGACAATTCAGTGTTTAAAAATGGCCTAACAATTAGTATGAAAAACGTCAGTCAGCATTTGACTTAATGATAGATTGTATTTGCTGACAAGGTCATTGTATCGGCCATAGAACTTACGAAATGTTGACTTTAAACGAGACTGCTTATATTCTTGTTTCAACTTGATTGTCAATAACTTACCTCCTTTTAGAAAATTCTTCATACGTAAAGCATGCTCTTGCGTATCGAATCAAATGAGAGATATATACCCCGTATGCAGTTGAGTTCAGTTAGGAGAGGAAGGATAACAGCTTTTTAGATTTAGAAAATATCAAGGTTGATTTTCATAAAGCACTTGTCACGCATGAAAATTCAGAAGTAGTCAAAAATAAAGAAAAACAATTATGTAAGCCAGTTGATAAAAAAAAAGAACAGCGCAGATGTCTTTCTTCAAATAAAATATCAAAATCATAATTCTATCTTTTGTAAGTATATATAATAGTATAATAGTAAAATATTCAGTTTATGTGATTTATATTTAATAGATGGGTGTACACGAGTTAAACTGCATGTGGTGGATGACATAGAAAATTTTATAAGGCGGGATTCCTTGATTGAACGATGGTACGATGTGACCCAAAATCTATACAGGTCGTCGGGATATTACGCGAAAACAGTTTCATCATTGTAATAGAGGTTGAAAGAAAGCTGGCAATGTCACTCTTAAGAAAACCTACAGAAGAAATAGTCAAATTAGCAGACTTTAAAATTGATAGAATTGAAATTGACGGAGATGTGATCACTGTTGGAAGACAAGGTAAATACATCTTTTACATTTTGAAGTTGGGAATAAACTTACATAGTTAAAATAGCTATTATTATGCTTCCTGTCAGTGTGCCTCTATATAATAAATACCCAACTATTTCCGCATTATTATAGTGTTCTAAAAATTTCAAAATAAGCATACTATTTATATTATACTCTTTTGCTTTGCATGAACTATGCCTAGATATAGTCAGGGTTTTAATAAAAAATAACAACTTAAGTCATATTATAAAAGTAAAACGAATAAGTTTAACCACATAAATTTAAATATTTCATTCAACGTTTCACAAAATTCTGATTTTAAGTGACATTTTTTTTTAGATTCATAAGGATGGTTGCAAAAAGGTATAATTTTGATAATCATAGAAAGTTTACAATTTTTTAATATTTTAAAAAGTTATGATTTTCGTCATTTACAACCAAAATATATCTAAAAATATATACCAATCCAGGCATCCATTTTTATCATCTGTCCCTTAATTTTCATTTATGTGCTGAACTTGAATTTCTTGTATAACAAAGATTGACAGTGTCTGCAAACTTTTTTAACAGCCCTCATAAGAGTGGCATAATAAAGAAAGATAAGTAACACAGGTGTCATTCTGTGATAATGTTTGACAGCTAATTGAGGTCATTGTATGTGCCAATGGTTCAGACGTATGCTGTATTCTACTCTAATGACACCGGTCTGAACCCTGGTGCTTGAAGAGATCTTTTTATTAATACTATTATTAATATTATTATGTTTCAATGAACTCAATATTTTTAAATTTGACTGGACTGACCACACAAAAGTCTCACATTTTTCACCTTGACATTCAACACAAGCCTAAAGATACTTATAGTTCATTCTGAATCGAAAAAGTTCTATCATACAATGGACCACGCTCTGGTGGCTTGTACATACAGTTTCCTATGCTTATTCATTTATTTAATACTAAAATATAAGAATCTATAAACAAATTATTTTTCAAGCAAGTCTCTTTTACTGGAATTTAAGTTTCCATATCAAGCATCGCACTGTATTTGTCGTTTGTCTCTGTAACAGCCCCCCCCCCCCACACACACATTAAAATTATAAATTTTTAACATCAAGAACATTTTGAGGTAACGAATATATTACTGTATCAGAACTGCCAACATCATAGAATGAAAATCATAAGGTGGGATCCGGGGACAGGTAAATGCTGAATATTTTTTTCCTCATTATGCTGACTTAAATGATTTAGATAGGAAGTTAACATAGAAAGGGACAATGAAATAAAGGTACTAAAATGTGTAAGATTTATGACTTAGTTTTAGTGATGGAAATTCAGGTTTTTAAATTTTTTTGATGAAGATAAAGATATTGAAAGAATGAATAGAGATATCGTAAAGAATATTTCAGAAGCTGAAACTATAAGCCTTACACCAGAATCCTAAGGGTTGGCAGCTCTGCTGTGTTAGAATATACTTTAAACTTTTATCTCCCTGGTAAGAGGAAAGGCATAAAACATCTGTAAGTATAATGAACTTTCATAAAAAAATTCTGAGTTTGTAAGATAAGATAGAACTATAAATGCCTGATTAATTAAGAAATAAGTTATTAATTTTAGAGTTTCATTGGGATATGACATGAAGTCGGTCACGTAATCAAATTCTATACCCCGAAGGGCGTTATAGTAGATTTGATCACGTACCGACTTTATGTCATATCCCACTGAAACTCTAAAAAATGATATTTTATTTCTTATATTTATATTTTACTTTTTTTAGTGTTACAAGGAAAAATAGGCACTATTTTGACTTTGTTATAGAAATGCAACATAACGTACCTACAACGTTATGTGACGTTATAATCGGAACTTTCCAATATTACGTGTATTTTGCTTTCCATACGCAATAAAGTCTGAATGTGACCTACTGCATCTTATTGAAAATTGAATTTCAATTTAATAAGTATTGTCATTTAAGGATTGATTGATCGATTTTATTTTGTTTAACGTCCCTCTCGAGAATTGTTCACTCATATGGAGACGCCACCACTTGCCGGTGGAGAGCTGCAAATTTTGTCCTATACTCGGCACTTACGGCCATTGAGCAGTGAGGGATCTTTTTCGTGCCAGCACCTACTGCGACACGGGACCTCGGTTTATACGGTCTCATCCGAAGGACCGGTCTCCACGTCCCACATTGGGATTCGAACCCGCGACGTAAGGATCAACTCCTTACTTCGCCACTCTAGAGCAGACGCTCTAACCACTGCGCCACGCGGGCGTCATTTAAGGAAAGACATCGAAAAATGTAAATGTGTGGTAATATATTCCACTTCTGGCATTAACAGTACAGGCAGATTATGCCCCCGAATTCCAACTAAGACAAATGATCTTTACGTTAGGTCACAGCTGAAGTAGTAGTAGTAGTAGTAGTAAATTTTATTTATAGTCGGACTATATACATTTAACAAAAAAAAACATGAGCTTTAAGGCTCTTTTACCGACTAGTAACATGAAACCATCTTTAGCAAAAATAAAATGTACATATACATATAAGAGAAAACATGCTTAAATTTGACATAGACAGAAGCACATAAAACACAAGAATGGAACAAAAGACACTGGTAAACACACATAAAAAAGACATAAAAGACATAACATAAGAGAGCACACAAACACACACATATACAACAAAGATCGTGCACACACACACACACACACATATATATATATATATATATATATATATATAAAGAAGAAGAGGGGTTAAGATAGCACTAATATAGTAAAATCATAACTTAAAACAAACAAACAGTAAGCTACAAAGGGGGAGACATTAGGTATGAGGCTTAAAAGTCTGGAGTCTGCAAGAACTACATTTACAATTTAGTTCTCCACACCAAGATGAAATGTAGTTTGAAAATTGATTATAAGAGGAGAATTTCCTGACTTCATTTGGCTGGGAGTTCCAGAGCTTTGCTGCCTCATACCTGAATGATTTCATTCCATACCTTGTTGTTCTTGGTCTTGGGACCTCTGCAGTATTTGTATATCTAAAATTGTATGAATTATTTTTAAAAACAACTAGGTCTTGCAAAAAGACAGGACGAAAACCTTGGATAATTGTAAAAGTTTCTAGAGCAATGGCTCGCATTCTTCTAGTTTTCAGGGATGGTAGTTTAGATTTATTTAATAAACTTTCATATGAGCTTTTATAATTTTCATAGATAAATCTTAAAGCCCTTTCCTGAATTTTTTCTATTTTACGAGTGTTTTGCTCTGTACAGAAGTGCCATGTTAAAGGACAATAACTGAAGTTGGACATTATGAAAGAATGATATATTGTAAGTTTTCCTAACTTAGTTAAATGCTTTGCTGCCTTTTTACACATATTTGTGATATGTGTATCGAATGACAACCTGAAGTCAGTGGTGATGCCTAGAAGCTTAACCTCATCATCACAGGGATTTTTGACTCCATCTAAATATAATATAACGATATAATGACCTTCTCAGCAAATACAATCTATCATAAAGTCAAATGCTTATGGACGTTTTTCATAGTTATTGTTAGGCCATTATTTACACACTGAATTGTGTACTGATTTTCCGTTATTTTTCGATCATTACAAGGAGCACACGGCGGATGTGACTGGTCTACAGGGGATGATCACTCCTCACCTGAGGTCAACTCTGATGTATTTAGAGGTCCGTGTTTGCCCTGCTCCAAATTTGTATTGTTTCAGTGGACTCTTGAACTTTAAAACTAATCGTTATCTTCATTTTTCATGCAATAATAGTTCGCTCCACGTTGGACATTTTAATTTTTTTTTTAAATTTGTAACTATATATATCTCTGATCAAGGACTCGAAAACAATATATAGGGTTTTGTATGTATTCCCTAGATTTAGTGTTATTTAACCACCTACTAAATTAAGTTTAGTTTAATGAAATTACTTTTAAACAATTTTAAAGAGTATTTGTCGTATTTTTGAAATGATATTCTTATCATTCTTTTCAATAGATTTATATGCATTGTGCGATGATATGTGAAATGGCATGTATGTTATATAATCAAGGTGATGTTTCTTTCTACTTGGCAATTTAAAACATATGAATGTTCAAAATGTGATATTGAATCAATTGTACATCAAAATAGAATATCCCCCCTCCAAGTATAAAAGACAAGGAAAATGGGGGAAATGTGGTTAGGATAAATAAAGAAAACCTGTATTTTGAAATTCTAGATACCAATAAGTGCTTTGAATTTCTTATTAAATGTTAACAGTTTTGTCTGAATGCTTTCATGAATTAAGATGTTATGTATATATCTTAGATTCTATAACGGACTCTGAGGATTGTGAAATGGAAGTTGAAAAGATGGATATCCGGTTGGTAAAGAAAAAAAGCGGTGACAAAAACATGAGAGGTAAGATTGTATCTCCAAATACAAAATTTAAGGAAGGCTTTAATTTTACCTGTAAAATTCTGAGAAAATAAATTTCAAATTGAATTGCCAACATTCATTAAAGCAGCGTCTCCAGATGAGTAAAAAATTCTCGAGAGGGACGTTAAACAATAAACAAACAAACATTAAAGCAGTATTTTTTATTTATGATTTTTAAAATTGAGCAGTGTTTGATTTTCCATTTATTTAACAAGCTTAAATAAACAATTAATAAATATTGAACGTGTAATTATTCATTCTTTTCTGAATAACAACATAAATAAGAAAAATGGAACACAAACTTTTGCTTAGTTTAAAAAATACATTCTGAGACCAAAGTTAGCGTTAAATCCTTAGGAATTCATGTTAATTCTGTACATTGTTAGATCTTTACTATCATGAAAGAAAATTAAAAAAAAACGTTATTTGAGGTTCAACAACAGACCCAGGAGATCATGACATTGAATGTGAAGAAATTGAGGAAATGGGTGATTGCTTGATACAGAAAGAAAGGAACGAGGAAAACTTGAGTGGTAAGAGTGTTTCGCTTACAGAAAAGTTCACTTAACGCCATCATGGTAAAAAATATTCAGAAAAAAATTGAATTGACTTATCAAGGTTTCGACAAATAATGACCACCTATCTATTTAAAAGCACCAATGTTAGCGTTAGTTATGCATTAGAAAAATTACTACAGTACTATAGATTCACAAATAATTTTTCAACTGATCCTTTTTAATCACTTGTGCCAGTCTAATATACACACAATTTATAAATTCTAACTTATTCTTAGATGTGTAACGGGGAGCATTTCACATTGTTCTTTTTGTCCCCCGCTTTCACTGTCTGTCTGTAACACTTTAGTTTCCGTGCGATGTCTACAGAAGCCTTTGAGCTTTCGCAATGAAATTTTGCAAAACAACTCCCTATGGCCTAAAGAAAAATCCTATTGATTTTGAAGTCAAAAGGTCAAAGGTCAAGGTCATAAATTTATAAATTCTCTCTGTTTCAACACTTTCATTTCCGCGCGATATCTCGAGAATCCTTTGAGCTTTTGCAATGAAATTTGACATAACAACTCCCTGTGGCCTAGAAAGACCCCTATTGATTTTGAGGCCAAAAGGTCAAAGTTCAAGGTCGTAAATTGATGCATTTCGTCTGTGTGTAACACTTTCGTTTCCGAGCGATATCTCAAGAAGCTTTTGAGCTTTTGAAATGAAATTTTATACCATAACTCCCTAGGGCCTCTCTCACCCCTCTCAAAGTGTCCCACCCCGTTTTTTTTAAAAATTATTATTTATTGTATTAAAAGTCGCTTGGCACTATTTTTAGCACAGGGACATGTGGAGAGTTATTAAGTACAATACAGGTTGTCGGCGGACATTATATTTTATACTTTATTACATCTATTAAAACTGTTTAGTAAAGGCTAAATTTGACACCATGTATTGTGTAAAATTTTGACAATATCGAACGTGAATATTTATATGTGAGTTAATGTTTGCATTTAATTTGCTATACAATCAAGTGCCTTCGTGGTCCAAGGGTATGACTCTCGCTTAGCATGTGAGAGGTGCAGGGTTCAAATCCCGGACGATCCTTTTTTTTGAATTTATTTTTTTTGGATTTACTAAATGATAGTATTCAGCATGTGAAATGAAAAAGTTATGACGTCTGGCTTGTTCAAACTCATAAAATCATTATTACAGCGTGATAAATATTCCATATAAAAAGAATCTTCTATAAACATATTAAAGAATGAGCAATAAAATCTTTATATACATATTGGCATTTTTCATTTGCTTCAATATAATGTATACATTTAATAATTCTACAAATCCAGGGGGGAGTTCGACCCCCCCCCCGAACTGCGCATGCTCTTCTTTTTTCCCCAAGCGGGGGACACACATCCTCTCAATTAGCTTGTTGTAATTGTTTGAATACGCTGTATATCAGATACAGAAGAGAATCGCAAAATTTATGCAAATTTTCACCATTTAAACAAGACAATAACGCTTAAAACATCAATGCAGTCACATGAATTAAACACTAACCCTTACTCTTTTCTAGCGTTTATAAATAAGATATATATATAAATGGATTCAATTTAATGTATGATATATCTATATATATCTATATATATCTATATATATATATATATATATATATATATATATATATATATATATATATATATATATATATATATATATATATATGATATATCTTCATCTATTCGCTGCAATAGTTATGTTTTCAATTAAACTACATATGTTAAATACTTTTCCCAAATAATATATCTTCTTTATTTATAATAATAGGAAGACTGGGGTACTCTGTACTCGAAACAACAATTATTATTTTAAAAATAATTATTATAACGTTGTCTCTTTTTAATGAAATATACGGAAATAACGAACGGTATTTAGGCTCAAAAGTTCAAAGTAGAGCAAAACGGACCTCTTAAACATTAGAGATGGAATCTGGTACCATGGATGAATGAGTATCCCCTGCCGACCGGTCATACCTGCCGTGAGTTTACACCTGCCATGGGTTCTTTGTCATGATCGGGAAATAACGGAAAAACGCCGACAATTCGGAGTGTATAAATGGTCTAACAATTAGTATGAAAAAACGTCAGTCAGCATTTGACTTAATGATAGATTTAATTTGCTGATAAGATCATTGTATCGACCATATAACTTAAGAAATAATGACTTTAAATAAACTGCAATATCTTTATATGCAGAGAGAGAGAGAGAGAGAGAGAGAGAGAGAGGTACATGAAATATGAAGATAACGAACAGTATTCAATCTCTTAAGTCCAATGAAACGATACAAATTTGAAGCAGAGCAAACACGGACCTCAAAATTTAGAGGTGGGACCAGCAGGTGCCGACCGGTCACACCCGCCGTGTGCTCTTTGTCATGATCGAGTTATAACGGAGAAATCCGTAGACAGTTCAGTGTATACATAATGGCCTAACAATAAGTATGAAAAACGTCAGCCAGCATTTGACTCAATGATAGGTTGTATGTGCTGACAAGGTCATTGTATCGACCATATAACTTGCGAAAAGATGACTGCAAACGAGACTGTTGATATCCCTGTTTCATCAACTTGTTTGTCAATAGCTTGCCTCGTTTTAGAAACTGTTCATACGTAGAGCATGCTCTTGCGTATTGAATCAACTGAGAGACATAAACCCCATATGCAGGTGATAAGGGTATATTGCTGCATAAGTAAGAGAAGTTGACGATTGAAAAGTTAAAGTCATCACGTATATCATAACGCTTGGTTGTTAGGTTACCATTAACGTCTTCTAGTAAAATATCCAAGTGTGAAACAGATGTGTCAGATTCTGTATTATCTTTAAATTCAAGCTCACTGGGATATAATGTGTCGACATATGAATAGAAATAACTATTGTTAATTGATAATACGTCGTCGATTTATCTAAATGTCGAGATGAATGTCATAGCAAGTGTTTTCTTCTTCTCATGTGTAAGATTCTGAATAAATTCTGCTTCATATGAATACAAAAAAAAATTAAAAAAAAAAAGTAAATAAAAAATTAAAAAAAAAATGATGAAAAGTCGAGAGGCAAGAGTTTCATACAGTTTTGTGAAAATTTATGATAAAAATTATAGAGTAAATGAGGGATCAGGTGCAACAGAGGAGTTAACATTCTCTTCGTCGATCGGGCACACACTCTTTTGTGGACAGATGTTTTCCAAATGGGCCTTGGAGCAGAATCATAAATATCAATCATATGAACTCAAAATCTATTTACCTCTTAACTTATAAAACCGTTATGTGGATCTGAAAAGAAATCTTTTATTATGACGCTTAAATGACCACTAAATGAAAAAGGTTGAGATACGAACCATGTTCAAAAACCTACAAACAATATATATATATGGGAAAAGGACATAAAATATGAATCCAGAAAATTCTAAATTTAGGATTAGGTACCTACAAGGAGTATGTATCCCGTTTGTCGTAATCGCCGAGAGCAGTGTGTATAGAACAGGTCCCTTTTTGAAATTTGTACATTCCTAAGCAAAAATTGCCTTGAATATTTTTTTTTCAATTATTTCAGGTTCAACAATGGACGTTTGGAGATATAAAATGAATAATGAAGATAAGGAAAAGAAGGAATCTGGGTTAATGATAAAAGAAAGATTTGAGAGAAAATCGAAAAGTGAGAGCTTTCTTTTATTTGAATAATGATTTGTCAGAAATATTTTTTCCAATTTTTTAAAAAGTGATATTTATTTATTATGCGGGTATGTTAAGGCTACACCCAGAGATATCCTACTTGCCTTTACAATATGACGTCATAGTAAGCTGTATGACGTGAACTTTAGAAATAATGATTTCTTAATATCTATATTTAAAGTTTAATTCCAGGTCAAAGAAATGAATGGAATCATTTAAAACATAATATTAACTAAATCTTGTCGTTTTTGTGTGGTATAACTAGCTAAGTATTTAGCACGGGGGTTAAATACCAAACCCATGATGTCATAACTATTGATCAAATATTTGCCGAGTGAAATTAAACGTGACGAGAATTCATGTAAACAAATAGATGAAATGGGAGTTTTAAAGCATATACCGTGAATGTTATGTGTGATTCATAAGGAATTAAAGATTAAGAATCAGGTACGCTGATATATTCTTATCATGTTTTCTTATAATGAACACAGGCAGTGCTTTGAAATCCCGGTCAGCCTTTCCTCTGTCGTTCTATAACAACAAAGATACAAAAGTTCAACACTACGCCGCATACTTTGAAACAAAATTTTTGTTTGTATCGAAAGCTTGTATTCTCTAGTACTTGGAAAGTGCTGCTAGAATCGTGTGGTTAACATGAATTGATAACAATTCCTTGATCGTATGTATAAAATGTAAAAATTTTGGTAAGGTTTCATGTGAAACTTTTGGAATATTTTTTTCTGTGTCGGGAGAGTAGGATTCTAGCAGCACTTTTCATAGCCCAGTCATGTTTTTACATAATTATTTTCACTAAAAGAAATGAATTAGCTCCGGGGTAGTGTTGAACTTTTCACTTTTTCATTAAGGCAATTTTTCTATTTATAGACGTCACGTGATGACGTCGTGATGGAGTGCTTCTTTTAGCCTAAGACTCAATGACGTCTATACAATGGATAATAATAGTAAATGTTTTATCTATGGCTTTTCCGATTTATCAATGTTACATTTTACGAAAAAAGTCTAAATTCGCCGAAATATGATCTGGGTACTGCCTTAACATACCTGCATATGTCACCACGAAAGAAGTCCGGGAATGTTCACGCAGATCCTTTAGACAATACTAATGAATTTTTATAGAAATGATAAACAGTAACTGTAGTTTTGCAAATCGCATTTAAAATTTGAAACCGCCTACCGTTGCCATGAAAACAGAAGGAAAGTAAAAATTGCTAAACTTCAATTTTCTCACGAACTGCTCAGGCAATTATTTTGAAACTTGTAAGGATTGTTCCTTGCATTCTGCCAAATTTATTTCTATCGAAAAAAAATTGGAATCTTTTGCAAATAATTGCCTTAGGAATGTAAGAAAAAAAGGTTAATATACGCACAAACATTCTCCGAGGTGCCTTGAATAATCGTGATGAAAATTTAAAGAAATTATGATAAGAAACTCTATTTGTTCAGTCAACATTCAAAAATTTCTGAATACCTACCGTTGCCATGAAAACAGGAGAAAGGAGAATTTTAATTTTCATTTTTCTCAGTAATTACCAAAGCAAACTTTTCAAATCTTTTATTGGTATAATCCTTTCATTGTATCACAGTGGTTTCTGCCTAAATGGAATTGATGGTCAGCGGAAGGAAGTCGGGACGACTTATTATTTTTGATTCACCTTACTTTTGTCTCGGAGCCTTCTCCTTTCTAGCTTAGAAATCTTTATGAAACTTCACAGAAATAAGTCAAAGAAATTGGCGTATTTTTATTTCGCGGGTATGTTAAGGAAGCATACAAATCATTTCTCGGGAAATTTAGACTTTTTTAAGAAAATTAAGATTAATAATTCATCAAAGTCTCCGATAAAACATAAACTATTATTAACTATTACATAAAGACACGGAGCGTCCGAGGCCAAGTAGTGCACCACCTCGACGTCATCACGTGACCGCTATTAATAGCAAAATATTCCTTAATGAAAAACTTCACAGAACAACACTACCCCTGGCTTAAATAATTTCTTTGAGTAAACGACATAGTTGAAAAACATCTCTTATGCCTAAAAAGTGCTGCTAGAATCCCACTGTCCGATCGGGAAAATAATTATTCCACATATACGTACGAAACCTTACCCGATGTTTCCATTTTATGCATATAACCCGAGATATTTCTGCAAACCATGTTAAGCTCACGATTCTAGCAGCACTTTCCAAGTATTATAGAATACAAGCTTTCGATATGTACAAATCTTATGTTTTTAAGTATCCAGCTTAGTGTTGTTCTTTTGCATTATTGTTGTCTCAAATGACAGAGGAAAGGCCAACCGGGATACGTAAATGGCTGACTGTCTTCAATAGAAGATATAATCGATGAAAATAAATCAACATACCTCTTTATCGTACTTTAACTTCACATGAATAACACACAATATTCCCGGTATTTGCTTTTAAACCTCCTTTTACGTTTTTTTTTACATGCGGTTTTGGCCAAATTCTCGTTACACAACATGATCGATTCTCAAGTTACTTGTTGAACAGTTATGACGTCATTGGTCGGAGATTACAATTCAAGTGACAGATACAGCATAACAAAATAAAAACATTTTATTTTTGTTAATATTTGCAAATTTCTATTCATTTTCAGGAGTCAAATTATATTTCTAATTAGAAATATTAGGAAAACTTGTGTTCTAAACTTGACGTCATCTCGCCTACTATGACGTCATATTGTATCACTGATTTAGTCAAGTCAGATTATCTTAGTGCTTCCTTAACACACCTGCGTTTCCTCTATTCAAATATGGAAGACCATGTCGTGAATTCTAAATAAAATGACCTTCACCTTCATATCAAAAGTAACCCTTAATCAAGTTCTCAAAATGCCAAGGTTTAAAACTTCTAGACAGTGATGGTTAATTGACAAGTCTACTTTCAAGTTCACCCCCCTCCCCTCGAAACACTTCAAACAAGATAAATACGCATATATAAAAATTACAATTGATAGGGAAGATCTTAAGAGTTTCATTTTTAAAATTTACTTCCGCTGATGTGATCTGAAATTTTGTTACAATTCATTCTTCTGTTTTGTCTGTAGAATTTATAAATATTTTATTCAGAATTAATTTATCTTTTAAAAATAGTGATTGTCAGCTGAAATCATTAGCATTTTCCTGTTTTCTAGTGAATGTATTACTTGCATATTAATAATTAATAACAGGAATAAAACATTAATAATAATTAATAATTAGAATTATTTCAATTTAAGTTTCATCGTTTTTATTAATTTGAAAATCCAGGTATCAGCTCGTGCAGGTGCGTGAAGGCCTTATCACTACTGTACAAAAACATTTAGCACGCCGGATATGGTCTTGATTCTGCAACTCTAAAATATTTACATATAGTTTATAATCTCATAAGAAATTAGCCTCTGTCCGAGAAATGCCGAAGTTGAAGAGGAAAATTTAAGAATTATTTTGCTCTATCCATGTTTTGACGTGAACCTGGCATTTTGTGAATTAAGGTCTTACGTCTTCCACAGAAGACCTTCCTGTTATCCTGATATCAGAGATAAATTAATAATTTTATTGTAACCAATCAGTTATTTCAAAAACAGTTTTCTTCTAGACAATATGATCTCTTGCATACATGTGAATCTTGTTTGTGACGGGGGAGGGGCTTTTTCTATAAATACTCACTTTTTTAAGCAGTTGAACAATCTTACATCTTATGGTTCAGTTCTGGGTGACATACGGTATTGCTTGCAATAGCAGATTTTCTAGTTATTCTTACCTCTTTCATTTCGATTATTTGTAAAAGGAATATAATGAAAAATAAATTGATTCTATTTACTTGTACTTTATTAGACTCGCAGTTTATGATAATTTTTATAACTTCTATGCTCTAGTAAATATATACTTTAGGTTAAGGAGAGGGCGTTGGGAGATATAAGATGGAAAATGAAGATAAAGAAAAGAAGGAGTTTGGGTTTAAAATTAAAGAAAGATTGAAGAGAAAATCGAATTGTGAGTTTTCTTTTATTTATATGATAATTTGACAGGAAGATTTACATGTATAAATTTAAGACATCAATAAATATAATCATTTTAGATAAATATACTCCATTCTCGCTTCTACACTCAATCGTGAAGTAAATTACCCCAATGGAAGTCTAATTTCACAACATATCGATATTTTGCCAGCATTTATTCTTCTGCTTTGTCTATAGAATTTATAATTATTTTATTCAAAATTAATTTATCTTTAAAAAATGGTGATTTTCAGCTGAATTCATTAGCATTTCCCGTTTTCTAGTGAATGTATTACTTGCATATTCATAATTTCATTCATTTATAGTTAGAATTATTTCAATTAAAGTTACATCGTTTTTACTGGTATTAATTTGAAGATTCGGGATCAGCTCGTGCAGGTGCGTGAAAGCCTCATCACTACTGTACAAAAGACATCTAGCACGCCGGATATGGTCTTGATTCTGCAAATCTAAAATGGTTTACACATAGTTTATCATCTCATAAAAAATTAGCCTCTGTCCCATAGAAAAATGCCGAAGTTGAAGAGGAAAATTTAAGAATTATTTTGCTTTATCCATGTTTTGACGTGAACCTGGCATTTTGTGAATTAAGGTCTTACATCTTCCACAGAAGACTTTCATGTTATCCCTGATATCAGAGATAAATTAATAATTTTATTTTAAACCAATCAGTTATTTCAAAAACAGTTTTCTTCTAGACAATACCTTGCATACATGTGAATCTTGTTTGTGACGGGGGAGGGGCTTTTTCTATAAATACTCACTTTTTTAAGCAGTTGAACAATCTTACATCTTATGGTCAATTCTGGGTGACATACGGTATTGCTTGCAATAGCAGATTTTCTAGTTATTCTTACTTTTTTACATTTTGATTATTTGTAAAAGGAATATAATGAAAAAATAAATTGATTTTATTTACTTGTACTTTGTTAGACTCGCAGTTTATGATAATTTTTATAACTTCTATGCTCTAGTGAATATATACTTTAGGTTTAGGAGAGGACGTTTGGAGATGTAAGATGGAAAATGAAGATAAAGAAAAGAAAGAGTCTGGGTTTAAAATCAAAGAAAGATTGAAGAGAAAATCGAATTGTGAGTTTTCTTTTTTTTTTATATATGATAATTTGACAGGAAGATTTACATGTATAAATTTAAGACATCAATAAATTTAATCATATTAGACAAATACTCCATTCTCGCTTCTACACTCACTCGTGAAGTAAATTACCCCAATAAAATTTATAATATTGATGAATATCTAGAATTATGTTACATTTATTTTTTTTCTAATTTCACAACATATTAATGGGTCATATTGATTGATTACATAAAAATATGTAAAATGGGGGACGCATTTTCTTTACTTTGATAGAAAAAGAGATCATTTTCGAAGATGCTACTTATAGTTTATGAAGGAGATATTGACATATTCTTGATTGGGTAGACTAAAAAATCTGTAGACAATTCAGTGTAAAATTAGCTCTCGTAATTCACGCGATTATCCTGTTTTCTTTTTGCACTAATAAAATAACATATTTGGGTATTAAAATCTAAACAGGTAATGAAATATTTTTTTATATTAAGCTTTTACAAGACATTTGCGCTGATCGGTTGAAGATATTATGATATAAAATAATGAAAGAAAATGTTTGGGCCGGTGATGTAATGTTTGAGATCTTGGCCAAAATGTACTATTTTCAGGCGAAGAAAACTTAAAATTTTATCTTGACTTTTTAATAAATCTCGTTTTTTCGCGAAGTCTTAAGAATGAATATATTAATTTTTTTTTCAAAATTTAGGACTTGAAACCTATATTCAATATTCCTAGCATATAATACAAAAATCAATTCTCTGTGTAAGAGAAAATTAAGGTCTCACGTTTTAAGACATTGAATTAATCAAATGTGTAAATTTAAAAAAAATTCTAATATACTTACACCAAAAAAAAGTCCGCCATAAACCTTATTTCCTTATAATTTTTTGAGCAGTTTTAAAAATCAATATTGTGCAGTTTACTTTCAACTCGATATTCAGATATGTCGACGTTTTATAAATTAAAAATAATTACTTCTATTCACGAAAAATGGTAATAATGAACAGTAATGAATGCCGATTCGATAAAACTTGAAAAGACACCACAGAGTCATCCACATCTGTTTCATATTTGGATGTTTTACTGATTATAGACAAAAAGGACAAACTAAAAACTAAATTGTATGACAAACAAGATGACTTCAGATTTTCCATTGTCAACTTCCCTTATTTATGTAGTAATATTCCGCTATTACTGCATATGATGTTTATGTCTCCCAAATTATTCAATACTTAAGAGCATGCTCTGAGAACAATAAATTTTTAAACCGGCTTCTTACAGGTAAGTTGACGTTACAATGATTTCAACAGTTTCGTTTGAAGTCATTATTTCGTAAATTTTATGGTCGTTATAATGACCTAATTAGGGAATATAACCTTTCATTAGGTCGTTTGTTGGCTTACATTTTTCATCCCAATTGTTAGACCTTTCTTTTGATACTTTATTTGGCTACGGAATGTTCTGTCTACCTGGTCAATAAATAGGGTTCAGGGCGGGTTTGACCGGTCAACATGGGATGCTCACTCGTCCTAGGCACCTGATCCGACCTCAGGAATTTCTATGGGTTCGTGCTTTTATACCCTGTTCACAAATTTGTATTGTTTGTAGATTTTAATGAAAATGATCACTGTTCTTTATCGTCACCTTGTCATTGAATTTAAATATGATATAAAGTTGTATAAAGATAATTATAGCGGAAGACCCTTCTATTATTCTATTGTTTCTTTTTCACTTTTATTATTCTTTTTTTTCCATATTCAACTCACAATAAACAACTTGCACGGTGTTGGTCAATAAACCGAAAATATCAAAAAGCAACTTGATGAATCTGTGCCATTCAGCTGAATTTTTACAGAAAATTTTGAAAGTTGCTCTACCAATCAGTCACCTTTTAATTAAACGAAAGGCATAGTTTTTATTAGGTATATACTTTTGTGTGTAAGTACATCACGTTATTTGTTTTTATTGCTTAGTATTTCAGGATTTGATTCTTATTCTGACGAATTAAAATATCACAATTACATTTGTATAAATGTTCTTTATATTAAAATTCTTTTTAAATAATTAAAGATGAAGAAGCGAATAAAATTTTTTTTTTTAATTATTTCAGGTGTAATATGTGACAGTAGGAGATACAAGATGGAAATTGGAGATAAAGAAAAGAAAGAGCCTTCGTTAATGGAAAAAGAAAAAATTGATAGAGAATTGAGAAGTTTGTTTTATAATATTAAAATCGTAGTTTGTCAGGAATAATTTTTTTCTAATATGTATAACCTTACAGAAATATCTACATAAATTACTTTAAGACATCAATATATATAATCTTTGTTGACAAAATATTTCTTTCTCGCTCCCACACTCATTCGTGAAACATATTACCCCAATACGATTTATTACATTATTGGGTATCCCATATTATGTTACACTTACTTTTTTTGTATTTTACAATATATCGATTGTTCATAATGTTAAAATGTATACAAATAGGGGGAGGCATTTACTCTACTTTGATAGAAAAAAAGTGGAAGTCGTTAGGGTTAGGGTTAGCGTTATATTGACCTTCTTTGCAAATATAACCTATCACTTCCTCTTATTTTGGGTGACGTGGTTCATCCCAATCGTTAGTCTTTTTAGTTCCTTACGCAATTTAATTTAGTAATGCTTGATGCTTTTATGTCGTAATCCTTGGACCATTAATCTATCAACATTCATTATGCTTGCAGATAATAAGGGCTATTCAGATCCTCATATTTTAAAATTAAATAAGGGGAAGGAGAACTTATTCCATATAAAATAATTATAAATAAATATCAATAAATTATTGTTGTGTATTGTATATTTTCATTTTCCCAACTGCATCACATCCCTCACCCCATCTGACATAATCTTAGAAAATAATTTATAATAAATTAACAATTATTTTTACTTATTGTACATTATTCATTTAATATTTGGCAAAGCTTCCCCGCTCCCATCCAAAAATTCAAAACTTTAATACAGCTTTAGGTTATATTCCAATTAAATCATCACCATCTATTGCGTATAATCTTTCTTTCGGTTTTGTAAGTGCAGATTGACATGAATGTAGTTCTTTAAATCTCTATAAAGTGTTGTAAAATAAATATCAATTATTATTAGGTATTGCACATTTTTATATATTTTCATTATACAGCTGCATTGCCTTCCCCGCCCCTATCCATAACCCGGACCAGTCTTATAAGACATTCCATGATGGATACTTTTTCAAATCTGATTGTTCGAAAAAGAGTTAAAGCGACAGTGGTTACAGAAGACATAGACCCTAAAGGTATGATGGACAGGTTAAATGTTATGATTTCTTCCAATCCTGTACAATGCTGTAAATATGTATGTATATTTATCTGCCTGATTAAGAGTAGCATGGTCAATCATTTTAAAAATGAAAAAATTTAGTTGGTATTTGACCAAATCTACATAGGGCATTATAAGATTTGATCACGTGATCAACTCATGTTATATCCCAATGAAGCTCTAAAAATGAAATTATATTTCTTAAATTGATACAGTTTGCAAATCTTTAAACTACAGGTTTTTTTTACATTACGAAACATAAGTCTTTCCCTTTATATACCAGAAAACTTTCTTATAATGCGTATATGCTGACTTGACTATCTGGGGTGATGTACCAAACACAGAGTAAAGCTAACGAAAGGTTTCCATGTTTCAATGTATATGGAAAAAATACAATCTATAAATCATAAGATATGTAAATTGCAAAAAATAGCCACAAGGCATTTTCTCGTTTCGTATGCTTAACAATTCTAAGAGTTTACTTTAGTATAAGCTTAATTTTATTCAGATAATTTTACTTGAGTAATGTAAGTTAACTTCTGTTGCATAAAAAGCTTAAGCAATTTGCAATGTTATTCTAAACTAAGCACGTCGCAAACTAAAGTATTCGTTGCCATGCCATAATGTCTCTTCAACTTCCAGTTGCATGTAAACAATAGGCAATTGGATGCACGTAAATGAATAGGATTGATTCCCATGAAATATTAGTGATCCACGTATTAAAGAAAAAATAATTTTTCTATAATTTCTTTTATCTGAAGTGTGCTGCTGTATTGTATAATCAATCAAAAACAAAGGATGGCTAAATGTTTAGATTCTTCGGTAGTCACAAGTTAAAAAGAAAGCCAAACTAAAACACACAAAAATGCCTGTATTCAAACGATGATACGTTACAGTACAGATATAATAGATGCCATTCCACTGTATTCACCCGTGCCTTGCAATTTTTACTTAAAAACGTAAGATTTCTCAGAAAACTTTCTTGATCTCGGTTCTGTAAGTGCAGTTTGACATGAATGTAGTTCTTTAAATCTCTTTAAAATGTTGTAAAATAAATATCAATTATTGTTAGGTATTTCATATTTTCATTTTACAGCTGCATTGCCTTCCCCGCTCCTACCCATACGCCAGACCGATCCTAAGAGACATACCATAAGGGATCCTTTATTTTACCGGTTTGATAAAAAAAAAGTTAAAGAGACAGTAGTTACAGAAGACAAAGACCCTAAAGGTATGATGGGCAGGTTAAACGTTATGAAGACTTTTAATCATTCTTACTTGCAATTATTTTACAAGTTAAAAGTGGAAATGTTCGAAAAAAATATCATCCTACCCTGCAATTGATAAAGTTATAAATGTATTATTATTTGCCTCATTCAGAGAAGCATTGTCAAACATTGTAAAACATTGTAAAAATCGAGAACGTTTTTTTTCAGAAGAATGCCTTTACTGAAACTGCTTTTAATATTCATAGACATTCATAATACTCATAGACATGTACATGTACGAGGGGTTATCAAAAAGTTCGTGGACTGAGTCGACAAAATTAGTACTATGTAGTCTGTGCTTTCAAAATTTATAAGGAACATAAAACAACAAAAAATAAAGAAATTTAGAAAATTTTAGCTTGATACGTTCATTATTTGCCAAATTATTATAAAATGAAAAAGACATTATATGATCACCCGGCGCTGTCTCCGTTTAGTTTCATGACGTCCAACAACGTTGTTGTTATTCAATGTTCGATTCTTCTACCTCATACACTTACCTTGATGAGATTCCCTGGAGTTGAGTAAGGACTTAAACCCGTCCTGTTTATATGACTTTACAATGTCAGGAACAGCTACTTTCATAGCATATAATATTGCAAATGGATTTATACATAAGGAGAGATCCTCGCTTGATTATGCCAGCATATTTTGCTTTTTGAAGTTCATAATTTATCACACATGATCAACTTCATTTTTTGACGTGATTAACTTTTCACACATTGACTACAAATTGACATTAACTGTGCATCCCTTTTCTCACTAAATCCATTTTGGCATTAAAAAAAAACAAGTACTCTAGATGCATTTTATTTCTCTGTAGCCAGTTTAAAGATTTCATAGGCCTATACCAGTTTTTTTAGGGACAAAACTTTGTAGAATGTTGGAAAAAGAAACCCCTCTCCCTTTTTGACGTCATTTTCAAGCCCTTAATTGTTTGGACACTCCAAACAAAATTTACGATAAAATTTCATAGAACTTACAGAATGAGGTAAAAAATGCATATTTTACGGAACAATAGTGTCCCATCACACACTTGAATTAACGGGACTTTTAAATGTCAAATGTTCATAACAAAATAGTTTTTCTCAGTAATACTTAGGTCGAAAAAACGGCATATTCGAGGTTGCGCCGCCTGGACATACCATTGCTTACAAAAACATTACTAATTTATTAAAAAATAAAATTTATGATTTATGGTTTATTCTTAAGATAGAAAAGATGATGCTAACTAAATATTTTAAAATTCATTAATGTACCTAAAGCGGTTTTAATTTTATGGCGCTAGTCCACGAACTTTTTGATAGCCCATCGTACATAGCTTAATGAACAAAACCGGGTATCCATTTCCGGAAAACATAAGAAACAATTGTTTGTTTTCATTGCTGCGATAGAATAATTTCTTATTGAAAACATCCATAAAGATATAAATAAATTTAAAAAAAATTGTTTAATATTAAGACTAAATGATTGTTATAATGTTTCTGTTTGTTTTTCATTTCTCTTAAGATATTGATTAATTTATGATTATATAAAAAGTTGTTACATGAACTGCTCCCCAACATGGGCGTGCGTAAGATATAATAACAAAAAGTATGAAGTTTCCATATATGAATTACAGTGTCTACAATAATTAATAAATTGTAAATGTTTAAGAGGAACTGAATTTTGTTTTGAATACTCTACAATTACAAATAACATAATGATTTTTTCTGCCTTTTACATTTATTGTGATACGTATTCTACATTTGTATCACAAGACTGATTGGTATAATGAGACGACCATTTGATTCTGAAGGGGGGTGGGGGTGGGAACTGACAGATTTTGGAAATAAATAATCTGTCCTCAAAATGTTGAAAATAAATAATTTGCTCTCAACAGGCAAGGAAATAAATAATCTCTCATTGACCATTGCTACCCCCCCCCCCCCCCGCCCGTAATAGAGTTTTGGAGTAACCAAAGTTACTCAGGTGAGCACTGTGGCCCATGGGCCTCTTGTTTTTTAATCTTTTTTGTTTTGTTTTGCTTCTGTTTTTTGCTTTTTTTCTGCTTGTCAAAGAAGAAATAAGAAAATAAATAATCTGTCCTTGGTCATCTTTTTGAAAATAAATAATATGTACTTTACTAGCATGAAAATAAATAATCTGACTCGAAAACTTTTGCGAGCCCCCCTTTCAGAATCAAATTGTCGTCCCCTTATCATTCACGTGACAACCACCCAGTATCAGCACATGAAGTTGTCCTTTTTTGTCAGCATTTCTATATATACTTGTTGCATTTGTTGATTTGATAATACACCCCTATCCTTTATATCAGTCCGATTACTTATTTTGGTTAATATTAAACAATTGATCACTGAAAATTAATGTGTAAAAATACACAGAAAAGTAAAAAAAAAGGTGCACAAATGTATCATATACTTTTTAGCTCACCTGAGCCGAAGGATCAAGTGAGCTTTTCTGATCGAAATTTGTCCGTTGTCTGTCGTCGTTGGCGTTGTTGTTGTCGTTGTCGTTGGCGTTGTCGTCGTTGTCGTAAACTTTTCACATTATCATCTTCTTCTCTAGAACTACTGGGCCAATTTCAACCAAACTTGGCACAGAGTATCCTTGGGGTAAGGGGATTCAAGTTTGTTCAAAAGAAGGGCCACGTCCTCTTTCAAGGGGAGATAATAAAGAATTAGTGAAAAATTAATAGCATCTTTTAAAAATCTTCTTCTCAAGAAACACATGGCTAGGAAAGATGAAACTCACGTGGAAGCATCCTCAGGTAGTGTAGATTCAAATTTGTTCAAATCATGATCCCCAGGGGTAGGGCGGGGCCACAATGGAGGATCAAAGTTTTACATAGAAATATATAAGAAAAACCTTTAAAAATCTTCTTCTCAAGAACAGCAGAGCCATGATGAGTCATATTTATATGGAAGCATCCTCAGGTAGTGTATTTTCAATTTTGTTCAAATCATGACCCCCGGAGGTAGGGCCAGGCCACATTGGAGGATCAAAGTTTTACATAGAAATATATAGGAAAAACCTTTTAAAATCTTCTTCTCAAGAACAGTAGAGCCATTATGAGTCATATTTATATGGAAGCATCCTCAGGTAGTGTATATTCAAGTTTGTTCAAATCATGACCCCTGGGGGGTAGGGCGGGGCCACATTGGAGCATCAAAGTTTTACATTGAAATATATAGGAAAAATCTTTAAAAATCTTCTTCTCAGGAACAGCAAAGCCCTGATTGGTCATACCTATATGGAAGCATCCTCAGGTAGTGTAGATTCAAATTTATTCAAATCGTGACCCCAGGAGGTCGGGCGGGGCCACTATGGAGGATCAAAGTTTTACATAGAAATATAAAGGAAAATATCTACTTCTGAAGAACTACAAAGCTATTATTAGTCATTTTGATATGATAGCATCCTCAGGTAGTGTAAATTCGATTGTTCAAATAATGACCCTCGGGTGTAGGGTGGGACCCAATGGGGGGTAGAAAGTTTTATATAAGAACATATAGAAAAAATATTTCTTCTCAAGAACAGAAAAGCTATATTTAGTCATATTGTTATGGAAGCATCCTCAGGTAGTGTAGATTCAAGTTTGTTCAAATCATGACCCCTGGGGTAAGCAGGAGCCACAATGGGGGATCAAATTTTTACAAAATAATATATGGGAATTTTTTTTTAAAAATCTTCTTAAGTACAACAAAGCCATTTGTTATATTGACATGGCAGCATCATCAGGTAGTTTAAAATTCAAGCTCCCCCCCCCCCCCCCCGTAATCTTTTCAATACTGAACTGATTTGTGCTTTTGCCTAGCCAGTGTGCTCAGGTGAGCAATGTGTCCCAAGGGCCTCTTGTTCTATTTGTAATTCTTTTCTTTGGTCTCTTTATTGTGGAAATACTTCAAAATGCTAAATATATTTTTGCGGCCGATTTGACGCGTTGCATCAATTTAACCTGTGTAAATTTTCATGTACACGTTTTGCTGCCTATGAAACCCCATTCAGGGTAATTCAACCCTCAGAAATTATGATATAAATCAGTATAATAAATTGTTTGCTTATCCACTGGTTCTGAGTTGAATAGCTCATCAAAACCTTGACAAGAATTATTCCCCTCAGGCAAGATTTCGGGGTTCCTGTTGCAGGTTTGATAAAGAGCAATCTCACTCACAACCAGTGGATAAGAGTAGTGTATATTACCATAAATTGCCAATGCGTTTTAATCTTCTTTTAAAATTCTGTAGCAATTAACTGAAGCAGCTGACCTCTTTACATAAATGAAATATTCTCGAATGGGACCTTTAACAACATACAATAAAAAAATCAAGTTGTCAGCACAACTGTCCGTATTATATATATATATATATATATATATATATATATATATATATATATATATATATATATATATATATATATATATATATATATATATATATATATATATTCAGCTTCAAAAAATATGTCCTATTACTCGTATATAGCCCTGTCACAAATAAAGTTCAGGTCTATCGTCAATTTATATGTCATTTACAATACATTACAATATTGCATCTAGAAATCCACCTAAAGAGTGAGTTTGGATTTGGAATTCATTTTATTTGAAAGGGGGTGAGGGCGGGTGTATTTTTCTTTAGCTATTTTAAAAATATCATAAATTTCGAATTATTATTATTGAATAATTCTGTTTTTATGCTCCGGTAATCGAAGATTCGGGGGCATATAGTTTTTGCCCTGTCCGTCTGTCTGTCTGTCTGTATGTCTGTCTGTTTGTCCGCAAAAACTTTGACCTTGCCCATAACTTTTGATTGGTTGGAGCAATGGCTTTCATATTTGACATGTATATTCCTTGTGACAAGACCTTTCTTTGGGTACCATCATATTTGACCTTTTGACCTTGGGGTTTGACCCACTTCTGAAAAATTTTATGAGACTTTAACTTTGGCCATTATTTTTGAATAGTTGGAGTTTAGGCGTTCAAACTTCACATGTGTATTTCCTGTGACATAACCTTCCTTTGGGTACCAACATCTTTGATCCTTTCGCCTTGACCTTTGAGTTTGACCTACTGTTAAGAAAACTTTAACCTTGGCCATATCTTTTGAACAGTTTGAGCTAGGTATTTTATACTTTGCATGTTTACTCCTTGTGACAATACCTTTCTTTGGATACCAACAACTTTGACCTTTTGACCTTGACCTTGGAGTTTAACCTACTTCAATTTTGAAAAATTTTAACCTTGGCCATAACTTTTGCAGAGTTAGTGCTGGGATTTTCATTCTTCACATATGCATTCCTTGTGAGAAGTACTTCCTTTAAATACCAACAACTTTGACATTTTGACCTTGACTTTGGAGTTTGACCTACTTTTGAAAAATTTTAACCTTGGCCATAACTTTTGAACAGTTAAACCTAGGGTTTTCATACTTCACATATGCATTCCTTGTGAGAAGACCTTCCTTTATATACCAACAACTTTGACCCTTTGACCTTGACTTTGGAGTTTGACTTACTTTTTAAAAACTTTAACCTTGGCCCTAACTTTTGAACAGTTGGCATTAGGTCTTTCATACTTTACAAATGCATTCCTTCTGACAAGACCTTCCTTTAGATATCAACAACTTTAACCGTTTGACCTTGGAGTTTGATCTACTTTTGAAAATCTTTAACCTTGGCCATAACTTTTGAACAGTCGGTGTTAGGGCTTTCATACTTCATATTTATATTCCTTGTGACAAGACCTTTCTTTGGATACCAACAATTTTGGCATTGACCTTGACCTTGGAGTTTGACCTACTTTTAAAAAAAATTAAATCTTGGCCATAACATTTGAACGTTTGGTTCCAGGGCTTTCACATTTCACGATCATATCTATCACTTGTGACAAGACTTTCCCTTGAGCACCATTTGACCTTGACCTTGCCGTTTTACTTACTTTGTAAAAACTTTTACCTTCGCCATAACTTTTCAACGGTTTGTACCAGGGCTTTCATATTTCACAGATTTATTTCTCGAGACAAGACCTTTTTTTGGGTACCAACATTTTTTATTTCTTGACCTGGAGTTTGACTTTCATTTGAGAAACTTTAACCTTCGATATAAGCTGCCTTACGGGGGCATCAGTGTTTCACAAACACATCTTGTTTCTATAGTTTCCCAGTCCTTGAGCTCGTCCGCTGTCATCAGCTCCAGTTTTACCGTTCCAAGAGTTCACAACGTTTCTCATATCTCCTGTGTGACGTCAGACAGGCTTTGGATCAGTGATTACAGACTTCTTCTACAGGTTGACGCGTACGGACACAAAACACGGGAAATTGAAATAGACTCATTTCCACTTGGAGGAATACATACAGTGTCAGAGGACGGGGAGCTGCTAGCTTTAAGCAACAACAGAGTGCAGAAGATCACATCAGATGGAAACATCACTACATTTTTTCAAACAGAGTGTGAAAAGTTTTACTGTATCCACTCCTCCCGTATCAACGGCGACATACTGGTGGGGTGTGAAAATGAGGTGAGGAGGTATGACAAGATGGGGAAGTGGATCAGGAACATTGTAATGTACTGGAGGCATCGGATTTATTACCTTATGTACATCACTGAAAACAAGAATGGAGACATCTTGGTCTCTGACAATGAGAGAAAATCAGTAGTAGTGGTGAACAAATCAGGACGACATCGATTTATCTACAAGGGTCAACAGTCTGAGTCTAGCTTTGACCCCCGTGGAATCTGTACCGATATCATCGGACAAATACTGGTGTGCGATTTTAACTTATTTAATCCAAGTGTTCACCTCCTGCACCAAGACGGTCAGTTCTTGCGCCTTGTATTGACAAGAGAACATGGATTACGCCAACCTACAGCTTTGTGTGTGGACGACAAGCACAATCTCTACCTGGGACAGGAGAAAAGTAACACAATAACAGTGTACAAGTGTCTACAGGAAACGGATGTTTCAGTTTTCTTGTACTTAATGCCGATCCCTACCATCAAGTCTCGTTTTACAGTATCCAAGGTTGATGGACTTTATCACATCTCCAAGCGAACTTCAGAAAGATTATGGGTCAGTGATATCAGACATCTTCTGCAGGTCGACTCCTCAGGTCACGAACAGCAGGAAGAACAAGTTGAATTTTATAGTATAGGAGGAGTTCACTCTGTCACAGAAGATGGAGACCTGTTGTTCATAGATCACAATAACGTGCGAAAGATGACTGAAGACGGAATCATCACTACACTCATAAAACCAGAAGCAGAGATACGACTCTGTGTCCACTCCTCCCGAATCAACGGCGATATTCTGCTGGGGTGCCATGATGAAGTTGTGAGGTATGACAAGAGTGGGAAGAGGACTGCGGACTTTAGGATGAACATGAGACATGGGGGGATTAATTATCCGAAGTACATCACAGAAAATAAAAACGGAGACATCTGGATCTCTGATTACGTGGAGAAAACTGTGGTGGTGTTTGATAAATCAGGACATTATCGACTGGACTACAAAGGACAGCTAACTCGGTATGGAATTGGTTCTACGAGTACCTATCCCTTTTATTTCGAGCCTCGTGGAATCTGTACTGATATCTTAGGGCAAATACTGGTGTGTGATACTTTCGATCCAAGTGTCCATCTCCTGAATCAGGACGGTCAGTTTCTTCGTCTCTTGCTGACAAGAGAACATGGATTACTCTTACCAACAGCTCTGTGTGTGGATGACAAACACAATCTCTATGTGGGACAGGAGAACAGTAACACAATCACAGTGTACAAGTATCTACAGGAAACGGAGAATTTAGATATGCCCATGGTGGAGTCGGGATAAACATGACAAAATATAAATGTTAATCGTTGATCAACTGATATTGTTGAGATGTTTTACTTCACAATCAGGCCATCTTTAAAATAATGTTTGTTTGTCCTCTCCCTAATCAGGGTAAAAAATTTTCTTCGATGGGTAAGTGGGAAAGCGCATTTGTTGACGTGATAATAGGAATAAAATATATCGTGTTCTTGAAAGTAAAAAAAAAAGTTTTGAGTCGGGCCCTTTTTTAACCAGTCGGTCAGGAAAGGGCAAACAAACAATATTTAAAGATGGCGTAATATACTTGAGATATAAGGATAAACGACGTGCAAATCATTTCAAGCAATCTTGTGTAACCACATAAAAGTTTGACATGCATAGTTACAGATTTTGGTAAAACTTTGCTCATAATTACACCAAAAACATAATCAAACTTTGTTTGCAAAGTTTTTTGTTTGCCATGGTAACAGACAGATTTTTTTTGAATTCAGAAATTGAGATTTTTAGTTATTTTGAAGTTTTATTTACATGTAACCTGAACAAAGATTGTAAAAAATGCATTACAAAAAAAACATACGTATTTGAAACTTATGATTTAAAGAAACTCTTTAAAATATCATTTTTCCATACTCATGTGAAATCTAAGTTAGAGCTTGTTAGAACTGAGAGTCAGTTAAGTTGTTTATGGATTTCAAGTTGTGCAAATTTACGTATAAGGGTGTCTGTCACAGAAATATACCTTTCAGGTTTTTGTACGTATTTTTTACACAATTTACATAGAACATTTTTCATTTTAAAATTGCTTTTCATTGTAAAGAAAAAATGTTTTTTAAACTTTAGGGCAAGTCGCCATGGTAACAATGCAAAACAATTAAACAGCCACTAATTTGTGTCTGATATGAGTTTATTGTATTACTTTTTTGTAGCACGTGTGAAAAAATTCTGTTACTATTTATGCTATGACTGCTTTTCAGCTACATAATTATATTTATTATACTTTCATGTTAAATACTAAAATCTGATTGGTTTAGACACATTTAACAATCCGTAATATTACCCTCAGCGTTAGCAACACACTTGACAACGGGTAACATTACGAAAATATCACATGCGTTCAAATCATGCGCGTACGGTTCACCGTAGAATTCTCAAAACGTCGGTTGTGCGTTTGAAAGAAGCCGAATAAACGACGTCAATAAAAGCTTGCGTCCGATGTGGCTTACTTGAAAAAGACAAACGACAGACGAAACATCCTTGCGAGTGCAAACTTTAGGTGATAAAGGACTTTTTGAGTAGCGAACAAATAATAAAGAGGTTGGTAAATCTTTTACGAAGCTTTCCTATTGGGAAAAATAGAAGTGGGGAGTTTGAAAGCTTTCTAAGCGTGAAGTTAACGTCGATCTCCGAATTTTTTAATGACATCCGAAATCAATAAGACATTCAGTATAATAAAATAAATAGTGCACGTTTTTGAGGGTAACAGTTGAAATTGACACCCCTCGGAAAACCATTGTCAACCTCCGCTGACGCGTCGGTTGACAATGGTTTTCCTTGGGGTGTCAATTTCAACTGTTACCCTCAAAAACGTGCACTATTTATATAGTAAGACACGGATAATGTTTTCTAAAAGACATAAACATATCAAATTTTTAACTTTAGCAAAAGTAGTGGTGTCTATTAAAAATAAAATATTTTAAAGTGGGAGTTGATATTAGAAATGTGCATAGCTTCCAGAGATGCAGAGCTACAAAACTTGATTTTTCAGGAGTTTTCATGCAATTAAAATGTATAAATTTATTTTATTAAAAGTTTACTCTTTCTTGATAAATGAGCCTGCAATTATCTATACACTTATTGACATTTGATAAGATCTACTATTGATTATAGGGACCTGGTCAGGTATTGGTTGACTGAGGCTGAAGGCCGAGGCTCAACCAATACCTGATCAGATCCGTATAGTCACGAGTAAATCGAATTCAAAAGTCAATTGTTTTAGTAAATGATCAGGAATTTCGAATACATTTTTGACACTTCAGATTTTTTCCCCAAAAGATATAAAGACTCATAATATTAAGTGTAGTGTAACAACACATTATAAGTATATTTCAACAACTTAACAACTGTTTAAAAGTGGAAAACGATACGATCGAACAACAAATAATCATTTACTAATAAAGGAGTTTAGTCTCCTCGGTACTGGCGTCTGCCATGTTTACATTTACAGAGACATCTGCTTTAAAATGTGTGATTTGATTGGTTAAAAAAATGTGAGCAAGTCTCTGGTTGGCCAAGGGGGAAAACCTGAATAGACCTCCCTGAACTTCAGTTTGAGGTGAACTCACTCCTAGGTATACCTCAGGAAAAGGCGTCTAAACAAATCAGAGAGCATCAAAATTTTTGAGCATTTAATAGAATGTAAAGTACAATGGACAAAATCTCGACTTATTAAATTCCTTAAAATGACAAGTGTGAACATTGTATTTCTACACAAGTTTATATAAGAAAAAATGATTACACAGTGAACTTGAACAAATAAATATTAGAATAATCAATAAAACTACACACTCAAATTTTGAATAATATAATTCAGACAAAAATCAATACAGACTTCATTTCAAACAAGGTATCATTTAACATACAAACCTGTCATTCTGTGTATATGAGAGAGAGATTAAATGTTGTTGTCCTTGTGTTGCTTTCATAATTATTTCTGGAGCAATGTTTATTTTAAAAAACAAGAGGCCCAAGGTCCTTAACGGTCACCTGAGTATAATACAACAATTTAGAAGTTAAATACACTGACAGATGAAGCTTTGTTGCCCTAAAGCAAGAGAAGTAGGAAGATCAGGATCAACAAAATAATTAGTCTAGTATTCAGTATCAACTCATAACTTTAGTTCTAATCCCCCACTTAATATTATCACCATGCAGACTATTAACAAACTATTAGTGCATCTGTACTATTTTTAAACCCATATTAAGCCCTCTAGCATTGACCTCTCTTATGGTCTTTGAAGAACTTTTAATAAGATAAGTTATTTTTGTCTCATTTTTATTTATCTATTACTTACAGGTCTGCCTGATTATTAAAACTAAGAAAGTACTTTTTGAATTATACGATAAACATTCTTGTATAATTATATTATTCTATTAATCTTTCAAATACATTATTTACAGTGATTAATTATCAAAGGTGAATGGAAAAGGGGAATAACTTCTCTCAGTAGAATACAAATTAATAGAGCCCTGTCCAGGACCAGAATGCTTAGACAAATTGTCCAGATGTTCAAAAATCTGGTAGAAATACGCTTACTTATATCATTTAAACTTTTACTCAGTTTGCTTTCGATATGCCCAGAAGCAGAGAAGAATTTCACAGGTACAATGCATTTTCACTACAGATTCAACAAAGCCTTACCCTAACACCAGAACCCAAGACCAAAGGTCAAGAAATTTACAAATTTGGAAGAGTTACCCTCATCATCATAACTATGGACTTCAAAGAATTAACACTTTTCCACTATATTATCAAAAGCCCCCCCCCCCCTTCCTCGTTATGCCAGAACCCCTGACCCTAGGACCACAAGATTTAAAAATTCTGTTCAAAGCTCCCATCTTCATCATAGCTAAGCAATTTATTTATCAGTTCAACACTAAGGAGCAGACAGGATTAGTTAATGATTAATTAATAGAATGCATTTTCACTATATAATCAATAGAGCCGCCCTCCTCAAGAACTCCAAAAACTGAGGCCATGTATTTAAAAATTTTGGAAGAGGCATCCTTGCCTATCATAATCATGCACTTAGTTTGTTTAAAAATCTCCAGTAGCAAAGAAGAAGATTTTCATAGAATCAATGCATTTTCACTATATAATCAATAGAGCCCCGCCCTAACACCGGAACCCCTCACCCTGGGGCCATGAATTTCACAATTTTTAAAAAGGCATCCTTATGCATCATAATCATGCATTTAGTTTGTTTAAATAATACCCAGGAGCAGAGAAGAAGATTTTCAAAGAATTAATGCATTTTCACTATATAGTCGATAGAGCCCCGCCCAAACACCAGAACCCCTGACCCAGGGGCCATGAAATTCACAATGTGGGAAATGGCTCTCTTGCTCATCATAACTATGTACTTAGTTACTTAGTTTAATACCCAGGAGCAGAGAAGAAGATTTTCAAAGAATCAATGCATTTTCACTAGATGGTTGATAGAGCCCCGCCCTAACACCAGAACCCCTGACCCTGGGGCCATGACATTCACAATTTTGGAAGAGGCACTCTTGCTCATCATAACTATGTACTTAGTTATTTTACTTAATACCCAGGGGCAGAGAAGAAGATTTTCAAAGAATTAATGCTTTTTCACTATATAATCTATAGAGCCCCACCCTAACACCAGAACCCCTGGCCCTAGGGCCATGAATTTCACAATTTTGAAAAAGGCACTCTTGCTCATCATAACTATGTACTTAGTTACTTTATTTAATACCCAGGAGCAGAGAAGAAGATTTTCAAAGAATTAATGCATTTTCACTATATAATCAATAGAGCCCCGTCCTAACACCAGAACCCCTGACCCTGGGGCCATGAATTTCACAATTCTGGAAGAGGCACTCTTGCTCATCATAACTATGTACTTAGTAACCTTATTTAATACCCAGGAGCAGAGAAGAAGATTTTCAAAGAAATAATGCACTTTCACTATATGATCTATATAGCCCTACCCTGGGGCCAGAGCCCCTGACCCTGGAGCCATGAATTTCATAATTTTGGAAGAGGCACTCTTGCTCATCATAACTATGTACTAAGTTACTTTATTTAATACCCAGGAGCAGAGGAGAAGATTTTCAAAGAATTAATGCATTTTCACTATATAATCAATAGAGCCCCGCCCTAACACCAGAACCCCTGACCCTGGGGCCATGGATTTCACAATTTTGGAAGAGGCACTCTTGCTCATCATAACTATGTACTTAGTAACCTTATTTAATACCCAGGAGCAGAGAAGAAGATT